GTCTGTAATGGTTCTGGTTGACCCCTCTCCATCTATAATGGTTCTGGTTGACCCCTCTCCGTCTATAATGGTTCTGGTTGACCCCTCTCAGTGTATAATGGTTCTGGTTGACCCCTCTCCATCTATAAAGGTTCTGGTTGACCCCTCTCAGTGTATAATGGTTCTGGTTGACCCCTCTCCGTCTATAATGGTTCTGGTTGACCCCTCTCTGTCTATAATGGTTCTGGTTGACCCCTCTCCGTGTATAATGGTTCTGGTTGACCCCTCTCTGTCTATAATGGTTCTGGTTGACCCCTCTCTGTCTATAATGGTTCTGGTTGACCCCTCTCAGTCTATAATGGTTCTGGTTAAGCCCTCTCAGTGTATAATGGTTCTGTTTGACCCCTCTCAGTGTATAATGGTTCTGGTTGACCCCTCTCAGTCTATAATGGTTCTGGTTAACCCCTCTCAGTGTATAATGGTTCTGGTTGACCCCTCTCAGTGTATAATGGTTCTGGTAGACCCCTCTCAGTGTATAATGGTTCTGGTAGACCCCTCTCAGTGTATAATGGTTCTGGTTGACCCCTCTCCGTCTATAATGGTTCTGTTTGACTCACCGATCTCGTCCTTGCACTGCACAGGTTTGGTGGCGAAGGAGGTCTTCCCGCGGCCCACCTTGTTGACGGCAGCGACCCTGAACTCATGGCTGCTGCCGTCCTTCAGTCCGCTCAGAGTGAACTTCCTGTCCAGCAGCTTGGTGTCGGCGCCGACCCGCACGAAGCTGTCGCGGCCGACCATCCGAGACTCCAGAACGTATTCTGTCACCTCGGAGCCGCCGTCGTACTTCGGGGCGCGCCAGGACACGGAGAGAGAATCCTTAGAGACGCCCGTGATCTGGAGATCCTCGGGGCGCTCAGGGACCGCTGGGGGGGAAGGGATGGGTATTAAATATATATAATAATAACAAGGCAGGAAATACGATTAAAAATAAATCCCAAAAATAAAAAACATATTCTGGTATATATGGTCTACGTACAGATGGGGTCCTTGATGAGCACCATCTGCTCCGTCGCGGTGAAGGGTCCCATCCCGATGATGTTCTCGGCTGCGATCCTGAAGAAGTACCCCTTCCCGTCCAGAAGGCCCTGAACCACGGCGTTGTTCCGGGTCACGGTGTACGACACCGAGGTCCAGCCCATCCGGTCCGACTCTCTCTTCTCGATGATGTAGTTGGTGACGGCCGAGCCGCCGTCGTCCTCCGGGGAATACCAGGTGAGTTTACACGAGTCGCTGGTCAGGTTCTCTCCGGCGAACGGGAGACCCACCGGACCGGGGACGTCTGGGGGGGGGAGATTACATGTGTTACATACTATTTGTTATAACTACCTGTCCTTCATCAGATTCATGTTTGTATTCATTCATAATAATGGCGTTTCTGACGTACCGAGGACCTCCACGATGACGGCCTTCTTCCTCTCTCCGCCCTCGTTCTTGGCGCTCAGCGTGTAGATGCCCTGGTGCTGCCGCCTGCAGTCTTTGATCACCAGAGAGTTGGAGATGCCGGTCTTTTCCACCGCCGCCTCCTTGGGAACCTCTGCGTCATCGCGGCACCACGAGATCTCCGGCGCCGGCTTCCCCGACACGTAGGCGATGATCCGGATGGTGGCGCCGGCGTGGACCACGATCTTCTCTTTGACCGAGGCGTCCAGGTCCATCTCAGGGGGGACTGAGGGGGGAAGAGGGGGGAAGAGGGGGGGAAGAGGGGGGGAAGAGGGGGGGAAGAGGGGGGGAAGAGGGGGGGGAAGAGGGGGGGTCATTATAATATAGACTTGAGATGCCGACACAGTTTTAAATCTGTTTGTCTCTTTTTATTAGAAATACTTTCATTTAAGTTTGACTTTTAAGTGTAATTGTAGCCAGACATTACCCAGTGTTATGATAACTAAGTTAAAAACACACAAATATTAATAATAATCATTCAAATAAATAAAAACAAATAATAATAATAATTAAAATTAACAATAAAAGTATATAATAATAAGAAATAATAATCCAAATATAGAAATGTTTAAAAATAAGTAAATTTAAATGAAGAATATTAATAATAATGATTAAAAGAAAAATGTAGTTAAATAAGTAAAATAAATACAATAACAAAAATAATGATAATAATACTTAGGAAAATTGTGAAATATAAAAATGAGTAATAATTATAAAAATGCAGATTAAAGATATAAGCTCGGTGTGACGAGAGTTCTGGTATCTAGTGAAAGCCCTGGATCTTACTGGTTCTGTCTCTGAGCTCGATGAGCTCCGTCACCAGGCCCGGTTCTCCAGGCCCTGCGGGGTTCACGGCGCTGACCCTAAATCTGTAGAGCCCGCCCTCCGTCAGCCCGGCCACCACGAACTTAGTGCCTCGGACCTCCGTGTCCTTCGCCTGCAGACAGGAGCAAACATCATGTATCCACTGATGCACACATGTACTAATACAGTTTAAAATACATACATATTTAAAACAAATCTAGAATCTATGACTTTAAATCATTTTCCATTTCCCAAAAAGTTCCCCCTGCTATCTGATTGGCTCCTGGACATCATAACTCAGGTGAGTCCAGGTGTTGCAGGTCAAACATGAAATGAGCCAGGTATTATATATTTATGTCTCTTCCTCACCTTCTGCCAGCCTTCGTCCTCCGGCTCCTTCTCCTCTTCGTCGCTGCTCAGCATCAGCAGCTTCCTCTGTGCCTTCTTCTCCTCTTCCTCCTTGTTCATCTCCTTGAACTCCAGGATGTATCCGGTGACCTTCGACCCTCCGTCCAGCAGCGGCGGGATCCACTCCAGCTCCACCGAGGACTTGGTCCAGTCGATCACCTTCGGGGTGGGGGGGCCGGGGGGCACTGAGCAGAGAGAGTGAGATGAGCTCAGACTGACTATCGCTTTGAACCCTTGTGTTGTCCTGACTGACCTCAGCATCACCCGTGAAATAAACCATCTATTCCTTTGGGTTCAATTCCTCGAGTGCCACTGTCGTCAATTAGTTTCATTTCAGACCATAAATACAAACGTGTGAGTTTAGTTTGAAAGAGTCTGACACATATTGTTATTGTGTGTCATTTGTACATTTAATTAGATTAATAACATTGTGCTTTTTTATGCTAATATTCAGTCATTATTACGACTCTGGTTTCCTGTGGGGTCTTTTATTCGTTACTGCAGGGTCTCAGGACGGGTTCATTATATAGATTACACTGAATAAATAACTGGATTTGATTGGTTTGATCGATACATTACGTTTCCAGGTACAGAGGGTCTCTTACAGATGGGGTCTCGGCACAGTGAGGGGTCAGAGGACATTATGATGTTATATAGTTACAGAGGGTCTCTTACAGATGGGGTCTCGGCACAGTGAGGGGTCAGAGGACATTATGATGTTATATAGTTATAGAGGGTCTCTTACAGATGGGGTCTCGGCACAGTGAGGGGTCAGAGGACATAATGATGTTATATAGTTACAGAGGGTCTCTTACAGATGGGGTCTCGGCACAGTGAGGGGTCAGAGGACATTATGATGTTATATAGTTACAGAGGGTCTCTTACAGATGGGGTCTCGGCACAGTGAGGGGTCAGAGGACATTATGATGTTATATAGTTATAGAGGGTCTCTTACAGATGGGGTCTCGGCACAGTGAGGGGTCAGAGGACATTATGATGTTATATAGTTATAGAGGGTCTCTTACAGATGGGGTCTCGGCACAGTGAGGGGTCAGAGGACATTATGATGTTATATAGTTACAGAGGGTCTCTTACAGATGGGGTCTCGGCACAGTGAGGGGTCAGAGGACATTATGATGTTATATAGTTATAGAGGGTCTCTTACAGATGGGGTCCCGGCACAGTGAGGGGTCAGAGGACATTATGATGTTATATAGTTATAGAGGGTCTCTTACAGAAGGGGTCCCGGCACAGCGCGGGGTCATAGGGCATTTAATGTTATATGTTATAGAGCAGGGGTGGCCAACCCGCGGCTCTCGAGCCGCATGCGGCTCTTTGCCTAGTTTCATGCGGCTCTTCAGTTCATATCGAATTGTATATGTGTGAGTTTGGGGGAGAGACATTGACTCCTGACTAGTGTTGCACGGTGTACCGATACTTGAAAGGTACCGCGATACCCTGCCGTTAAAAACGTTACGATTCCGCCGTTTCATTAGTATCGGTACTTTAAGAATGACGGGGGAAAGTACTCCGGTGAGAAAGCGCCGTTTTAATAAGAGCCGTGTGTGTTCAGCGCTCTGCTTCCACTCCCTGCACTGCAGCCTTGCCTGCAGTCCCTCCCTCTCAAGCACGCTCTAAGTCCCTCCCCTCTCAAGCACGCTCTAAGTCCCGCCCCTCTCAAGCACGCTCTAAGTGCCTCCCCTCTCTCGTGCACGCGCTAGCTGCCAGAGCATGTGAGAAAACGAGAAGCATGGCTGCAAGTGGGAGTGCAACTGCCGCTGCGCCTCGGCTTGTTGACAACAAAGACGCCAGAAGCGAAATTTGGAAGTATTTGAGCTATATCTCTGACAGTGAGGGCAAGCCTACGGACACCATGAGGCCTGTCTGTGAGACATGTATTAATTTTATTTAATACGAATTCTTGTCATTTATTTTATTTATTGTTCTCATTGTTTAAAAGGTTATGTTATGGTTATGGTTCTGGTGTGAAATAAAGCACAATAATTACATTTAAGACTGTTTCCCTTTTTTTAAGAAAAGTATCAAAAAAGAATCGGAATCGCAATTCTTGACTTGGTATCGAAACCAAAATGTTGGTACCGTGACAACACTAGCTACTCCTGACAGTTAAACCTGATATTTAGTAGGTCTGTTAAGTATTGAATGCTGATAATTCTGACGTAATTTGGCCGGTCAAAGTTGTTTGGGCTCGGATAAAATCGCTCCGTTACTTTCGTCCCGTGTTACTTTCGTCCCGGCTCTCCCTATGTGTGTATGTGTGGTGTCAGGTGTCAGTATGAGAGGATGACAGCGCATCTAATTTTGATGTGACCCAAGAGCCAATCACAATAATACCTGCGATGCAGTGAACCAATCACCTTTGAGGGGGGGAAAACCTATCGTTGATTAAACACTATCCAGTGTTTCCCCTACCATTGTGTTGGAGGGGCGCTGCGCCCCGCCAACGGAGCCCCGCGCCCCCCCCTGAAATTCAAGGTGTTTCAAAAATATATATAATATATATTTTTTAAATATATATATAGCACCAAATTGCAAATAATCTATAACTACTGTCACTTTTCACATTGAACATGTGCTCTTTTATTAAATAAACTAAACGCTTTCATTTTAAGTTGTGAGTTTAGTGTTTTTGACCCTAAGAAACACTGATGCAATAATCAATAACAATAATCCACAGCTCCTCTCTCTGCTCCAGAGGATTTAAAAAATATATATCCCAATGCCACAAAGATGCATCAGTGACGTGGTTGAAATCTTGTCTCCAGAAAACAAAAAACTGAAACAAGCGTTATCAGTGACTGTGTGTTTGATGTGGCTCTTTGCAGTAACATAGAAAAAATGTGGCTCTTAACCTCTGACTGGTTGGCCACCCCTGTTATAGAGGGTCTCTTACAGATGGGGTCTCGGCACAGCGAGGGGTCAGAGGACATTATGATGTTATATGTTATAGAGGGTCTCTTACAGATGGGGTCTCGGCACAGCGAGGGGTCAGAGGGCATTTAATGTTATATGTTATAGAGGGTCTCTTACAGATGGGGTCTCGGCACAGCGAGGGGTCAGAGGGCATTATGATGTTATATATATATATTATAATGTTAAATAGAGGGTCTCTTACAGATGGGGTCTCGGCACAGCGCGGGGTCGGAGGGCTCGCTGGGCAGGCCGCAGCCGGCAGCGTTCACAGCGATGACTCTGAACTGGTAGAAGCAGCCTCCCTGGACGCTCAGCACCTCGAAGTTGTTCCCGAGCGGCAAAGCGCCGATGGTTTCTCTGTTGGCTCTCGCCCAGCGCTTCCCCGACGCCTCCTTCTTCTCCACGATGTACGTCAGCACAGAGGAGCCGCCGTCGTACTTCGGCTCGTCCCAGTTCACCGTCATGGAGTCCAGAGAGACGTCCGAGATGGTGGGCTTCTCACACTGACCCGGCACCGCTGTGGGGGGTTGGAGAGAGACGTTTAGCACAAGAGCTTTAAGATAACTGTTAAAAAGTCTAATTTTTTTTTTAAACAAGGTAAAAAATGTAAAAAAATAACTCAGAAACTGGATAAATACATATGAATAAATAAAATAATATTAAAATAATTAGACTTATAATCAAATTAAATAATATTAAAAATAATTAGACTTAAAAAAGAGAGGTATTTTGTACCGTTGCAATTCCACAACCTACTCAAAATATATATTATATCAAATAATATATTAAAAAATAATTAGATTAAAAACCTGCTATATTGTAGAGCACTGCCAATTCTGAAAATGTACTTAAAATGCATTCAAAATGTTGGTAAAATGTATCAAACATATCAGCCGCTCGTCGCTGTAAAGGAAGGCAGGGAGCGCTTGATTTAATCACCAAGAGAAAAGGACTATAAAGAAGTGGAAGATAAACCTGATCTGAAGTTTACATATTTCAGCGTTAACTCACTGAAGAGGTTCCTGGCCTTCTCGGCCTTGCTGACCAGCGGGGGTCCGACCCCGAACTTGTTCTGGGCCATGACCCTGAACTCGTACTCGTGGGCTTCGGTCAGGCGGGTCACCACGTAGGCGCAGTCCTTGGGGTCGTTGGAGACGTGGACCCAGGACTTCCTGCTCTCCTCGCGCTTCTCCACCACATAGTTCGTGATCTTCGAGCCGCCGTCGTCTTTCGGAGCCGCCCAGGCGAGCCCGATGCGCTCAGCGAACACCTCGGTGAAGGTGACGGGACCCTCGGGGGGGCCGGGGGGGCCTGGGGAGAGGGGGGAGGCAAATATTAGATTTATTAAGATGTAGTTATAAGACTGGACAAGCAAGCACCAAATAAGTAGCTACCTCAGAAGGTAATAAAATGAGTATTAATAATTTAAATTATTATTATTTACAAAACATTTTTTGAAATAATAATAGATATATATTTGTATCAATTTGAAGGGTTTAGCTAAAAATTTGATCTCAGCCTGATGTTAACACATGCTACTGCTATATGCTACATGCTACTGCTACATGCTACCGCTACATTCTACCGCTACATGCTATCATCACTACATGCTACTGCTACATGCTACCGCTACATGCTACGTGCTGCTCACCGAACACGGAGAGCTTGAGGTCCTTGGAGGTGGATCCCAGAGCGTTGGTGGCGGTCAGGCTGTAGAGGGCGCTGTCGTGCCGGCTGGCCTGCGTGATGAGCAGCGTGCACTTGTCCTGAGTCACCAGCTTGTTCATGTGCTGGTCGTACGTCACCGCCGCCTTCTCCTCCGGCTTCGCCACGCTGGCTTTGCTCCAGGCGAGCGAGGGGAACGGGCAGCCGCTCACCTTCGCCACGATGCTGATGTCACAGTCCTCCTCGCCTTCCAACGCCTCGCGCATCACGATGGTGGGGGCAACTGCAGGGACACAGGGCGGGAAGGGCATTTAGGTACCGTACTTAGATCAGAATCATTACAATTACAGTATAAAGCCTCATTTAAAACCGGAGGTCTGGTATCTGGAAGACTCAGTTATGCCTGGCGATTACGGTGCTGTTCTGTATGAATGCACTTTACATGAAATGGTCAACATAACACAGGTGGCATTCCCCGAGCAACAAATCAAGCAGAGATTCAGATGATTCCTTATTCAACTTGAATTACATTAACATTAGCATATTCTACTATTCCTAAGACTGAGAAAATGTCTACACCGCCGTGTAAATGTCGTTTCACATTCCTGCCCTGACGTTGCTGTCCTGTATGAATGTTCTTAAATCAACAGAATAAAGCATCCTGCAGCAACCAACCACAAAGTGAGGGTTGAATGCAACATCCTGAAAGCTCACAGACAATATTTCATGTACTAGAAATTAAACACAGAAAACTGAGTGCTGTGATTGGCTGAAGCAGCTGTCACTCACATGTCTGGTCCTTGATGACCAGGGGTCCGGCGGTGGGCGAGGCTCTGCTGGGTCCGGCTGCGTTCACGGCTTTAACCCTGAACTCGTACTCTATTCCCTGAACAACAACAACAACAACAACAACATAGTCAACAGTGAGACTCAGGGAAACGTCATCATGTATAAATCACAGTACTTCACTTAGTTCATCAATGAAACGTGGAGCGATACCCCAGACCAGGAGTTCTGTATCAGAGTTGGATTGGTCTTTTTGAAGCAGGAGGAATTGATGTGTTTTTGTCATTGGTTGGTTTTGTTTGTCAGAAGGTTTACAGAAAAGCTCCTGGTCTGATCTGCATGAAACGCAGTGGATGTTAGTCACTGAGTCAAAGCTACATCCTTCCACTGAAGTTCAGGCCTTTCCGTAATGCTTCTGACCAACGGACAAACCGAACCATAACAAAAGAACCTTAGTTTGTTGGGGCTCATATATGAATATAGTTCAAATCACCAAAGCATGTGATAAATATTAACAGCTACACTAAACTACACTAAAATGTATTTTAAAGGTCCCATGTCATGCTTTTCCGGTTATTACCCGTCCCCTTGTGTTATGAAGGTTTTTCTGCATGTAAACGGTCTGCAGAGTCAAAACCCTCAAAGTGCACCCTGTAGAGAGTCAACTCTAACACAGAGAAGACCTGTCTGCTGCCCCAGAACGCCTCGTTGGAGATACGTCATCATCCATTTGATTCTTCTGGGTACGAGACTACGTAAGCACGTACCCGGAACTAAATGGACCAATCCGTGGAGCCGTTACGTTAAGCCCCGGCTGATTGGTCCAAATTGACCAATCCACAGACTTCCTCACACACACACTCCCTGGCTGCAGGCTGATAACAGACAGTTGGGATCGCGGCGAAATTCTCTCTGCAGACCCATTCTCTCTGCAGACCCATTCTCTCTACAGACCCATTCTCTCTGCAGACCCATTCTCTCTACAGACCCGTTCTCTCTGCAGACCCATTCTCTCTTCAGACCCATTCTCTCTGCAGACCCATTCTCTCTGCAGACCCATTCTCTCTACAGACCCGTTCTCTCTGCAGACCCATTCTCTCTTCAGACCCATTCTCTCTGCAGACCCGTTCTCTCTACAGACCCGTTCTCTCTGCAGACCCATTCTCTCTTCAGACCCGTTCTCTCTTCAGACCCATTCTCTCTGCAGACCCATTCTCTCTGCAGACCCATTCTCTCTGCAGACCCATTCTCTCTGTAGACCCGTTCTCTCTGTAGACCCGTTCTCTCTGCAGACCCATTCTCTCTGCAGACCCATTCTCTCTGTAGACCCATTCTCTCTGTAGACCCATTCTCTCTTCAGACCCGTTCTCTCTGCAGACCCATTCTCTCTGCAGACCCATTCTCTCTGCAGACCCATTCTCTCTACAGACCCATTCTCTCTGTAGACCCATTCTCTCTTCAGACCCATTCTCTCTGCAGACCCATTCTCTCTGCTGACCCATTCTCTCTGCAGACCCATTCTCTCTGCAGACCCATTCTCTCTACAGACCCGTTCTCTCTGCAGACCCGTTCTCTCTGCAGACCCATTCTCTCTGCAGACCCATTCTCTCTGCAGACCCATTCTCTCTGCTGACCCATTCTCTCTGCAGACCCATTCTCTCTGCAGACCCATTCTCTCTACAGACCCATTCTCTCTGCAGACCCGTTCTCTCTGCAGACCCATTCTCTCTGCAGACCCATTCTCTCTGCTGACCCATTCTCTCTGCAGACCCGTTCTCTCTGCAGACCCGTTCTCTCTGCAGACCCGTTCTCTCTGCAGACCCATTCTCTCTGCTGACCCATTCTCTCTGCAGACCCATTCTCTCTACAGACCCATTCTCTCTGTAGACCCATTCTCTCTTCAGACCCGTTCTCTCTGCAGACCCATTCTCTCTGCTGACCCATTCTCTCTGCAGACCCATTCTCTCTACAGACCCATTCTCTCTGTAGACCCATTCTCTCTTCAGACCCATTCTCTCTGCAGACCCGTTCTCTCTGCAGACCCATTCTCTCTACAGACCCATTCTCACTGCAGACCCATTCTCTCTGCAGACCCATTCTCTCTACAGACCCGTTCTCTCTGCAGACCCGTTCTCTCTGCAGACCCATTCTCTCTGCAGACCCGTTCTCTCTGCAGACCCATTCTCTCTACAGACCCGTTCTCTCTGCAGACCCGTTCTCTCTGCAGACCCGTTCTCTCTGCAGACCCGTTCTCTCTGCAGACCCATTCTCTCTGCAGACCCATTCTCTCTGCAGACCCGTTCTCTCTGCAGACCCATTCTCTCTGCAGACCCATTCTCTCTACAGACCCGTTCTCTCTGCAGACCCATTCTCTCTGCAGACCCATTCTCTCTGCAGACCCGTTCTCTCTGCAGACCCATTCTCTCTGCAGACCCGTTCTCTCTACAGACCCATTCTCTCTGCAGACCCGTTCTCTCTACAGACCCGTTCTCTCTGCAGACCCATTCTCTCTGCAGACCCATTCTCTCTGCAGACCCATTCTCTCTGCAGACCCAGTTCTCTCTGCAGACCCGTTCTCTCTGCAGACCCGTTCTCTCTACAGACCCATTCTCTCTGCAGACCCGTTCTCTCTGCAGACCCGTTCTCTCTACAGACCCGTTCTCTCTACAGACCCATTCTCTCTGCAGACCCGTTCTCTCTACAGACCCGTTCTCTCTACAGACCCATTCTCTCTGCAGACCCGTTCTCTCTGCAGACCCGTTCTCTCTGCAGACCCGTTCTCTCTGCAGACCCATTCTCTCTGCAGACCCGTTCTCTCTGCAGACCCGTTCTCTCTGCAGACCCGTTCTCTCTACAGACCCATTCTCACAGCGTTTATCAACCCTTTTCTTACTCAACATCAAGCCACACTTATTGTTTTTACTTCGGCTGTGACTTTGTGTGTGCTCAGGATGAGTTTGGCTGTGTTTCGCTGTGTATCGCTAAACAAGGAAATCACACCTCCACGGAGCTCAGCGCGATTCACAACGTCCCGACCAATCAGAGCACACTGTGCTCACAGGGAGGGTGGGGCTGGAGCTACTGGAGCTACAACGAGCCGTTAAAGGCAGAGAGTGAAATCCAGTGAATACACGTAGTTTACAGAGATGCTGTTTGAGGAACCAATGTGAGTTATATAAATCTATTCTAGTAGACCTCAACACTGGAATTATGATCATTGGAAATGGCCATGACATGTCTCCTTTAAGAGAAATAAACGGAGCCTGGAAGAAGAGGAACCCATCAGGAAACTGGGCTGTGATGTTGAGTGGGTCAGGAAGAGGAACACGGTGCCATGCTTCAGTGTTATTGAGCAATACTGACGGCAGGAAGCAGTAAAGGATCACATGACGCACCTCCTTCAGGTCCTCCACCACGAAGGTGAGCTCCTCCACGTCCCTCTTGTTGCACTGCTTCCACGTCTCCTTCTCCTTGCCGCTGGTGTCCCAGCTCAGACGCTCGATCACGTAGTGCTTCACCGGAGAGCCGCCATTGTTCTTGGGAGCCTCCCAGGTCAGGGTGACGGTGCTCTTCGTCACCAGGTTCACCTTCACCTTGGTGGGGGGGTCGGGGGGGTCTAATGAGGAGGAGGAGGAGGGTGATTATTGTCGTGTCAAATGATCATAGAATCATTTAAACATACAGTCTTATACTCTGATTGCCTTCGACTCTGTTACCGTGTGTTGTTAGTCTTGTGTGTGTTGAACAGAGACACATGTTAGGGTTTACCTTTCAGGAGGCAAAGGAAGAAGAAGGTGGATTCACAAAGGGTTAAAGACTGGAGGGTTTAATGGTTTGATGGTGGGATGGAGGAGCAGCTGTTTCCTCTCATGAATATACAGAGACTGAGAGCAGAGCTTCTCTCTCCTCTGAGGAGGAAGCTGCTCTGCTCCTGTGTGTGTGTGTGTGTGTGTGTGTGTGTGTGTGTGTGTGTGTGTGTGTGTGTGTGTGTGTGTGTGTGTGTGTGTGTGTGTGTGTGTGTGTGTGTGTGTGTATGCTCCTGAACTTCAGATCCATCTCACTTTATATTGACTTTCTTTATTACTTTATTAAATAGAACAAAAGACAGACTTTGTCCATGAGTCATCTCTCAGTGTCTCTGAAGAGTGTCCTCCACAGTTATCACTACATGTGTAAATATGTGACTGTATCTTTAGTATGAATAGCAGTGTTTGCTCACAGATGGGGTCACTGGCCCGCGCGGGGTCGGCGGCGATGGTGAACGGGCCGAAGCCCAGTCTGTTCTCGGCGCAGACCCTGAACAGGTAGTCCTGCCCCTCCAGCATCCCCGGGACCACGAAGGCCTGGCTGGCACAGGCGGTGTTCACCTGGGAGACAAACCAGACCGTCCATCAGTAACTAAATCCCAGAGCAGGGACTAAAAGGACTCCTGATTCAACTTGAAGACATTAGCATTAGCATATTCCTAATACTGACAATGTTTCTACATCTCTTTATATTTTTGCACATTCCAGTCATGGTATTTATTTTTACAACAAATAAACTACATATTTCTCAATAGAAAATAAAAATACAATTTAGGACAGCGACGTTTATGAGAATACAATATTTCCCTTAGACATAGTCCTGTTTTTATGTAGCTAGGTTAGCTTTTTCACATCCTTCCAGTTTGTATTTGTGCTAAGCTAGGCTAATCATATCCAAAAGAGGAGTTGATCATTAAATGTTTATGCTTAAAGTCACTGTTTTATGAAAAAGAAATGAAAGTCAAATGAAATGTTAAAACTAAATGGACTGAGTAGCTCACCTTGGTCCAGGCCTTGTCGGCGGTAGACTTCTTCTCAATGAAGTAGCTCTTGATCCTCTCTCCTCCATCGCTGTCGGGCAGTTTCCAGATCAGCCTCATGGTGGACCGGGTGATGTCGGTAACCCTCAGATCCTTAGGAGCTCCGGGTACGTCTGCAGCGGGAAAACACAGTCAGAGCTCCAAGCAACGAAACAAAGACTCCAACACACCGACACTCTAATACTCAGGAAACGGAGACCTACCGAGCACATTGACCCTGACGTTGACGTGTTTCTGTCCAGACTTGTTCTTGGCGGTGATGGTGTAACGTCCAGAGTGTGTCCTCAGACTGACGGGGACGGTCACAATGGACGTGGTGTCTGTTGACTCAACCTGCATACACAAAATGTTTGACATTAGGCGGAAACCCATAAAACACGACCACAAGTGCCAGGTGTAGCCTGAATAGGAGATTATGTTGAGGAAGCCTTTGGAGGTCTCACCTCAGAGTCGACAGGCAGCGTGTGCAGTTTGTTCTTCTTGTGGGACTTGGCTTTGCCGGTGAACTCCCAGGTGACCTTGGGAGTAGGGCGGCCCTTAATGGTGGCGGGGATCTTGAATGCATCTCCAGCACGGACGTACAGCAGGTCATCCACCATCATGTCGATGTTGATGGCAGGAATCACTGTGACAACAAAACAACATCAGTGACGGATAGAGACACACAAAGATAAAGGATGGTAATTATTGGATGGGGAGTTAGGACTTACGCTGGACGTCTTGAACCAGAACCTCGGTGGTGCGGGGGCTGGGGTCGGACTCGCCAATGTCGTTGACAGCAATGACCCTGAAGTAGTAGCGCTTCAGCTCGCGGAGGCTGGGCATGGTGAACTCGGTGGTCGGGACCAGTGAGTCCACGTCATTGACCCTCTGCCATCCGGAGGATCCCTCATCCTGGATCTCGATGATGTAGCCCTTGATGGGACTTCCTCCATCCTTCTCTGGTGGCGTCCAGGCAAGTGTGACACTGTGCTTCGTCTTATCAACGACTTCAGGTGCAGCAGGCATGCTTGGAGGAGCTGGAGTGGAGAGCAGCCGTTAGTAAAAACAGAATCTTCCAAAATACAGTGGAAGCATTTAGCTCAAGAACACTGATCTGGTCAAAGGACTTCAATTAGGAACCGAAGTTCAGTTCGATATGTCGGATATGTCAAATCAATGTTCTTTTTTACTCACTGATTGGATCGACAGCAAAGGCAGAGTCGGACGGTGCGCTGAATGGTCCAGTTCCTGCAGAATTGCTGGCAGCAACCCTGAACTCGTACTCTGTTCCTTCGATCAGACGAACCACCTGGGGGACGCAGAAAGTTAAAGGGGTTTTATAGACTCATATGGCTAGCAGGACAAAGCATCAACAGATACTCTGTGGACATGAACCAACCAGAAATCGGTTCGGAAACAGAACAAAATCATCATCAGCTCACCTGGTACTCCCAGCCTTTCATGCCCCTCTTGGTGACGGGCATCTTGTTGATTTTGGCCCAGTAGTCAGAGCCCTTCTCTCTTTTCTCCAGCCAGTAGCCAACAATCATGGAGCCACCGGTGTCTCTGGGAGGCTCCCATGACAGGGTCATTGTAGTCTTGGAGTATTCTGCAATGGTTGGTTTCTCTGGAGGGCCAGGGAGGCCGAATGGGTCGGTGATCATGACTTCCTCTGTTGTACAGGGGTCAGAAATACCGTAACGATTCTGGGCTTTGACCCGGAACAAGTATGACTTGTTGGTCTCCAGGTTCCACACCTGCAAGTGAAAAAGGTGGTGTTAGATGACTTTGACAACCCTATTATAGCTATTATTAGTAGTAATGTCACTATCAGGACATACCCCAAACTTCCTATCGATGACGCTGCTGTTAACCTCCACCCACTGGGGCTCAGGTGGTGCTTCCTGTCCCTCTTCCAGCTCCGGTTGATCAGTCATCACGTCTCTCTTCTCAACAATGTAGTTGGTCAGCTCGCTGCCACCATTATCCAGGGGTGCGTCCCAGTGCAAGTAGCAGGACTCGGCCCTGATGTTGGACACTGTTAAATTCCTGGGTGGAACTGGTCGGTCTGAGAGGAGAGCAATATCATGTTAGGACATCCATTATTACTTTTCTACCTTAGATAGAGTCTTCATCGGCATGTTTTAACTCACCCAGCACCATGACGGAGATGGTGTGATGGGCTGACCCCATGTTGTTTGAGGCGGTCACAGTGAAGCAGCCGCGATCCCTCCTGTTGGCTGCTGGGATGGACAGCTTGGTCCTGGCGTTGAGTCTGCCAGTGACCTCTGTCTCTATCACCTGAGCCTCAGTGGATTCAGCGATCAGCACGTCATCCTTGGTCCACTCGATAGTAGGGATGGGGAGACCAATGATATTAGCGGGTATCTCGATGGGCTCGCCCTTCTTCACGATGATGGAGTCTCCCTTGAAGTGCTTCAGCATGTGGACCTCAGGAGACACTAGACGGAAACAAACCATGTTAGCAAAACACTCGTGTGCACCATTAACAATACACCTCAATAATATATAAGGTAGGGTTGAGGGCAGTGGCGAGCCGTCAGGGCCCTCTAGGCCTAAGATATTCTACAAAATAATATTTAAAAATGTAATATATCTTTTTTTAATATATTTTTAGTTATATTTTTGATTAGTTTTACCAAAATAACTTGATTTAATTGTAGTTAAAATAACATTTCCAAAGAAATAAATCCTTCGAATCTGCCTGTTCAGTTTCTATTTGAATGTGAAGGGTTAAATGAAAGAAGCTCCTTTAGCCGTCTCTGCGAGGTGAAGACAGGAGCTGATTGGTGGCCCTGCTGTGAATTCACGGAGGGCCAGCTACAGTAACTGAACGAGAGAGTAATGTCAAATGACAGTACAATTGACCAATCATATCTTCCCTCTAAATGGGTGGGTTTTATTATCGCAAACTTTATGACAAGTTCTGCCCGCTGTGAAGCTTTTCTTGTTTCCATAGGAACAACAACTTCCTGTCGTAAACTCGCCTTCAAAATAAAAGCATGCCAAATCACACTTAAGACATACAACTGCAACGAAAGTAACAAACACAATGCAATATCCTTTTCAATTTCAAAGAACACAAATTGGGTTATTTACAGGTGTTTTTGTGTATTTACATTGATGCGTTTTGCACCCCAGGCCGTTGTGTTTCCGCTGTGACGTAATAACTCTTTTTTTTTTTTTTTTTCGAGGGAAGGGGCGGAGGTCAGAGGGCCTAGGTATAAAAGTCACGGCTCGCCACTGGTTGAGGGTTTTAAAGATCCATCATAACATTAAACCTCACCTTCATCGTCTTGGATGACCACATTCAAAGGAATGGATGGCTCGCTCTCTCCCATTAGGTTGGCACACTTGATCCTGAACTCATAAGGCCAGTCCTCTTCCAGGCCCTCCACAGTCATGGTCATGCTGGTGCAAATCTCTTTATTGTGGAGAACAAAGGCTGTCTCGTCCTGCCTCTTCTTCTCAATGAAGTAGCCAATGACTGGGCTGCCGCCATCATTACGAGGTGGTTTCCAGGTAAATGTGACGGAGTTCTTGGTGCGCTCGGTGTAGTGGAACTTCTCAGGGTATGAAGGTGGACCTGCAGAACCGACAATGCACAATTAGTTTTAAGAAAGGTCGACACATCAACCAATAAGAGTTGGTCTGCTCATATGATCAAATGGGCATTGATTTCTAAATCAAATGGTTTAAAGGTTTGTGATTCCCACAAAGTGATTAAGATCTACAAAGGACTATCCTTGAGGTATCTGTTGGACCATTCTTAAAGTCTACAAAGAGCATTGCTAGAGGTTTTTGATGGACGAATCTTGAATTCTGTAAGAAACATTTTTGAAGGTTTGTGATAGACCTTCCAAAGAATCTTCAACTGACTATCATTCGGGGTTTTGTTACACTATTCTGAAGTTCTCTAATATACCTTTTTAAAGGTTTGTGATGGACATTCCAAAATGGCTTGAATCAGGCAAGAACTTAAGGACTACAAAGGACTATTAGGGTTTGTGTTGGACCAGTCTTAGGGACGACAAACAACTACTCTCAAGATTTTAATTGGGCCATCTAAAATACATTTTTAAGGGTTTGTGATGAACCTTCCCAAATGTCTTGAATCCATCAAGAGCCAAACATTCACAAAGGACCATCTTTAGAGTATTGTCGGAGCTTTCTTAAGGTCTACAAAGGGCAGTCGTTAAGGTTTTGGATGGTCCTTTCTTAAGGTCTGAATCAAAGGAGCAAAGGGTCTACAGATTCTGAGAACTCACCCTGTGGGTCAACAGCCTTGATGGGTCCCAGCTCTACGGGCGGGCCCAGGCCGAACTTGTTCTTGGCGATGACGCGGAACATGTACTCCTGTCCCTCCATGATGCCCACGCACTCGCACTTAGACGAGGCGGTTTCAACGGGCTGCCTCCATGTGTGCATCTTGATGTCTCTTCTCTCCACGATGAAGCCAATCAGGTCGCTGCCTCCGTCGTCGTCTGGGTCGTCCCAGTTCAGGAAGATCATCTTGCGAGTGACTACAACTGGCTTCAGGTCGGTGACAGGTCCGGGGACATCTAAAGATAAAACAATATTAGTCTTCTGTGTTCATTTCAAAGCATCAATTAACGAATATAGTCTTCTTGGAATTCCACTCACCCATGACCTCCACTCTGGTCGAAGCATTCTTGATGCCGCTAGGGTTGCAAACGGAGATGTGGTATTTGCCGCTGTCCTTCCTCTGGACGTTCTTGATTGAAACGATGCTGTCGTTTCCTTCAGTGAGGATCTCCACGCGGTCTTTGTCGGGTTTGGAGTCTTCGATGGTCCATTCGATGGACGGGTAAGGTTTACCAGTGACTGTAGCAGGTAGACGGAGGTTCTCTCCGGCCCTGATAAACACGCCAGCCTTGATGGCCAGTTCCATTTCAATCACCGGCTTCTCTGCAGGGTTCCTGACAAACACGGCCTCTGTGAAACCTGGTGCTCCCTCTCCAGCGGCGTTGCATGCGATGACCTTGACCTGGTATTTGGCGCCCTCACGGACTCCAAACACAGTGAAGGCCCGGGTTTTCCACAGGCGCTCTGTGGACCTGGACCAGTCCTTAGAACCAACCATGGCCTGAAACGCACCACAGAAACAACCAAGTGAGAAACTTTGGTTTACCAAATATGAACGTGCAGGGCAGTCAGTGAAAATATTAGCTGACCTTGTCCACTTGGTATCCCATAATCTCTCCTCCGCCGTTATCGGCAGGTGGGTCCCACTCCACGTCGATGGAGTGGTCGGTGGTATTTGCCACTCGGCAAGTAGGAGGTCCAGGAGGTACTATAGCGTCAAAGATACAACACAGATGTTACCTCTGAGATCAGCTATATTTACCTGGACAGAAGTATCTTGTTTAAGTTATTTCTCATTTTTTATGCTACTCCTCAAACTATTTATATATAATAATAATAAGTGAAAGAGATTTGTTATAGAAACATTGATTCTGTCCGATCTGAGGGTTTCAGGACAGTTTACTTACGGATGGGAGACTGGGCTGTCTTGGGTTCGGAGGGCAGGCTGAACTTCCCTGGGCCGGCCTGGTTTTCGGCCGCCACCCTGAAGATGTATGTCATTCCTTCGATGAGACCTTCAACGTTCAGCTCAGTGTCGGCAACGATTTCCCTGAGGGCCGGAGGAGAAGGGAGCATTAAGAAAGTGATAAATCTATATATTTTAATATTTCTCCGAAACATCAATTGATGTCTGTACATGTATGTGCAAATAAATCGTAATACATTTGACATTTTAACAGATCTGCCTCATTGAAATAGGTGCATCTCTTTGGTTCCTCACCTGTTGACACGTGCCCAGTGCGAGCTGTTGATCTCGCGGCGCTCCACCCAGTATCCGAGGATGGGGCTGCCGTTGTCGTTGGGCGGGGTCCAGATGACCAGCATGCTATGAGCTGTGATGTCATCGATCTCAGGCTTCTCCGGAGTCTCGGGAGGTTCTGGAAAGGACACAAGATTACATAAATAACATGCATCAAGAGAACTGAAAATGACATTTCAAAATACAGTGTCTGATAAAAACCTATTTGTTTTAAATTCTGTTCGGTTTCAGTCAAAAGGTATTTAAAAAAAAAAAAAAAATACTATTTAAATTAAAATAAATACAATTTATTTTATAATGAACAAAAAATGATAGAAAATGAAAAAGGAAATAAATAAAATAATGATCTTTTTTGTTTTTATCTCACCAAAGGGGTTCTTGGCGATGAGCGGTTTGGACACGCAGTGCGGCCCCGCTCCGAACTTGTTCTCGGCCACGACCCTGAACAGGTACTCCTTCTTCTCGATGAGTTTGGGCACCAGGTAGCGGCAGCTTCTCAGAGTGGAGGTGACCACGCTCCAGCCGATCTCCAGCTTGGAGTTGTCCTTCTTCTCCAGGGTGTAGTTCAGGATCTCGCTGCCTCCGTCGTCCAGAGGAGCATCCCACTTACACACCACCGAGTTCTTCCTCACCTCCTCGAACCGGAAGTTCACCGAAGGCCCGGGAGTGTCTATCAGGGATTTAATCAGGGAACCAAGTCAATGTTTCTGTGTTTATATGTGGAAAAACATTCATTAACACTCAAAGAAAAGCCCTTAAATGAATCCATTCATGAGAAACTAACTTCCTTTTTGGCCCATGTCCCTAAAGGAGCTCCGTCCAATGTAATACAGCTCTTTCCACACATTTCTAACACGCTGTAAACCTTTAAATGTCTTTTTCCAACTACTTTTGGAGAGTGTTTTTCCAACAGAATGAAGCCTCGCTGCATTAAGTCAAACAAGATGATTCCTCACCGAGCACGTTGACCTCGCAGCTGGCCGAGGCTTTGCCGTGGTCGTTCACCACCTTCACCATGTAGACGCCGTGGTCTGCGCGCACAGAGTCCCTGATGGTGATGGAGGAAACCCCGCGGTGACGGTTATCCACGGACAGACGCTCGTTTATGGTCGGGTAGTCGCTCTCCTCCACCTCCTCCTCCTCCTCCTCCTTCACCTCTTCCTCCTTCTTCTTCTCAGGCTCTCCTTCCTTCTTCTCAGGCTCTCCCTCTTTCTTCTCCTCTCCCTCTTTCTTCTCCTCTCCCTCTTTCTTCTCCTCTCCCTCTTTCTTCTCCTCTCCTTCCTTCTTCACAGCCTCTCCCTCCTTCTTTTCCTCCTTCAAGAGTCAAGGTTCAAAAATTAAATGCTGTTTATTGTAGTAATAGATAAATATGTGAGGTGCAAACAGATGAATGCATCTTTACTCACCTTCTTCTCCTCCTCCTTCTTCTCCACCTTCTTCTTCAGTGGTTTGTCGGGTCTCTTGCGCAGCGCCTCGGGTCGGATCACCTGGTTGTTCCAGTACCAGGTGATCTCGGGGTACGGGGATCCGGAGATGTTGGCGTTCAGGCAGATCTCTCCGCCTCGCTTCACACTGAGGCCGGACTGCAGGCTGCCGCTCAGGAACACCTTCGGGGGGTCTGAGGGGGGAAAGTGCAATATTTAAATTTATTTTAGCGCAACCGTCACTTTTATTTATGGAGCAATCCTTACATTTAATTCCTGAAGTTGTTGCATTTTTTCCCAGTGCAAAAATCATATTTAAAAAAATGAAATGTATTCTGGAAAACGATTGGTTTGTGCTTGAGGAGCCTGTGACTTGAAACTGTCTGCAAAGCATCTGTCCTCATGTGCGAATGCTAACGTTAGCATGTGTACTGTTTGAGCACGAGCAAAAGCGCTATAAAAATGTAATGTATTGTTATCAGTAAACTGCATTTCTAATGACACGTCGTTCTTACCGACGGCGTCTGAGATCTTGACGTGCAGCGACGCTCTGGACGGCTCGCTGACCCCCGCTGGGTTCTCTGCTCGGACCCTGAAGGCGTAGCTCTTGCCCTCCGTCAGCCCCCGCACGGTGTAGGACAGCACGGGCACCAGGAAGTCGTTGCAGCGCCCCCAGGCCTCCTCGCCCTTCAGCTGCTTCTCCAGCACGTAGCCCATGATCTTGGCGCCGCCGTCGTACATCGGGGGCTTCCAGGTCAGCGTGATGGTGCTGGAGGTCGGGTTGTGGGTCTCCACGTCCACCGGGGGGTCCGGGGCGTCTGGACGGAGGACAGAGTTCAGAGTTACAATTACCCCATTTAAGATTGACTTGGTACATTTACAAAACAATAACTAGAGTGATAATTCATAGCTTTCAAGATCCCATAAATGTACAACCTGGAGGGAGGACAGAGTTCAGAGTTACAATTACCCCACTTAGGATTCACATCTCAAAACATTCTCTTGCACTATTTGATCTGCTTTATTTGTTCTCTGACCTATATTCATGTTGCTCTGCACTGAAGCTGCTGTGCAAATTATAATAAAGCCTTGAAACTTGAAAAGTGGTACATTTACTAGAAAATAACTACAGTGATACATTCACAGGTTTCAAGATTTGAAGATCCCATATATCTACAACTTGCATTTTGAGGTCATTGTTCTGTATTTATTTGATGTATCCTACATTGGCTGTTGTATTGAAGTGTCCCTTTATGTAATAAAGAACGGTAAAGGGATTTTCTCTCACGTTTCTGATCCTCAGCGATGACGGGGTTGCGCAGCTCGATGAACTCTCCGCCCCCAATCTTGTTGACGGCCTGAACCCGGAAGTAGTATTCTCCGTTGGGGATCAGGTCTTTGACGTTCCAGCACACCTTGTTTTCTCCGGACATCATGTTCACGTACGTCCTGCGGCCGGCCTCACGCCTCTGCACACACACACACACACACACACACACACAATACCACGTATTAACACCACTTTAAGGCTATAAACGTCACCACCGCTAAGCTAAAGGAGGCTAATGTTGGGCTATAAAGGAACTACAGCACGGTCACATGACTTCACGTCACCACCGCTAAGCTAAAGGAGGCTAATGTTGGGCTATAAAGGAACTACAGCACGGTCACATGACTTCACGTCATCACCGCTAAGCTAAAGGAGGCTAATGTTGGGCTATAAAGGAACTACAGCACGGTCACATGACTTCACGTCATCACCGCTAAGCTAAAGGTGGCTAATGTTGGGCTATAAAGGAACTACAGCACGGTCACATGACTTCACGTCACCACCGCTAAGCTAAAGGAGGCTAATGTTGGGCTATAAAGGAACTACAGCACGGTCACATGACTTCACGTCACCACTGCTAAGCTAGAGGAGGCTAATGTTGGGCTATAAAGGAACTACAGCACGGTCACATGACTTCACGTCACCACCGCTAAGCTAGAGGAGGCTAATGTTGGGCTATAAAGGAACTACAGCACGGTCACATGACTTCACGTCACCACCGCTAAGCTAAAGGAGGCTAATGTTGGGCTATAAAGGAACTACAGCACGGTCACATGACTTCACGTCACCACCGCTAAGCTAAAGGTGGCTAATGTTGGGCTATAAAGGAACTACAGCACGGTCACATGACTTCACGTCACCACCGCTAAGCTAAAGGCGGCTAATGTTGGGCTATAAAGGAACTACAGCACGGTCACATGACTTCACGTCACCACCGCTAAGCTAAAGGAGGCTAATGTTGGGCTATAAAGGAACTACAGCACGGTCACATGACTTCACGTCACCACCGCTAAGCTAAAGGAGGCTAATGTTGGGCTATAAAGGAACTACAGCACGGTCACATGACTTCACGTCACCACCGCTAAGCTAAAGGAGGCTAATGTTGGGCTATAAAGGAACTACAGCACGGTCACATGACTTCACGTCACCACCGCTAAGCTAAAGGAGGCTAATGTTGGGCTATAAAGGAACTACAGCACGGTCACATGACTTCACATCACCACCGCTAAGCTAAAGGAGGCTAATGTTGGGCTATAAAGGAACTACAGCACGGTCACATGACTTCACGTCACCACCGCTAAGCTAAAGGAGGCTAATGTTGGGCTATAAAGGAACTACAGCACGGTCACATGACTTCACTAAATAAAATACTAATAAATATATATAAATAAAATGTGTTCTGTGTCTGACCTGCATGACGTAGTGGATGATGGGGCTGCCTCCGTCGTAGTTTGGAGGATCCCAGGACACTTTGCAGGAGTTCTTTGTGATTTCAGAAGCAATGATCTCCTTACACTGCCCGGGGAGACCTGAGGACACACAGACAGTGGTGTGTTAGAGAGTGTGTGATCTGTGTGAGTGTGTGAGGGTGTGTGTGAGGGTGTGTTGGCGTACCGATGACTTTGACGTTGATGGCGGCGCTGGCGGCTCCCATCTTGTTCTCCAGAGTCACTTTGTACTGTCCTGCGTCAGAGTGCAGACTGCTGTCGACCTCCAGGTGACAGGAGACATACTCCTTCCTGTTGAACACACACACACACACACTCTCCCATCAGCCACTGCTACACACACACCTCCACCTCAAACTGTTTACTACTTAACACATAACAATACGTAAATATAACCTGAGAACAAAGTGGTACATTTAGAAGAAAACCTCAGATGTTCTCCTATTTCAAAAAGAGGTGATTCTTATGTAATGCCCAGTGTAAGCAGATGTAGATTTGAGCGCAGACCTGAATCCCAGGCGCTCGTCGGCCTTCAGCTCCTTGCCGTCTTTGTGCCAGGTGATCCTGGGCGAGGGCACGGCTCTGAAGGGAACGGGGATGTGAAGCTTCTCCGTCTCCACGACAACCAGGTCCAGAGTCTGGAACTCCAGCTGGGGGTTACCTGCACAAACATAACATAATATAACCAAGTGTTGAATCAGACTTTAGTTCCACCTGGAGTAAATCCACCAGCTACCCTGCAGTATACAAAGTACTTCAAACTAGCTGCTCCTTCACCAGCTTTGAGAACACTTTCATGATCAATCATTATAAAACATATCATATATATTATTCTGAAATGGACCAATCTGCACAACGACTACTTTCACTGTCGCTACTTTCACTATATTTTGATGAGAATACTTTTATACTTTCACTTGAGGAACATTTTGAATGCAGGACTTTCACTGTGACAGAGTATTCCTACACTCTGGTACTTCTACTTTCACTCAAGTACAAGATCTGAGTACTTCTACTTTTACTCAAGAACAAGATCTGAGTACTTCTACTTTTACTCAAGTACAGGATCTGAGTACTTCTACTTTTACTCAAGTACAAGATCTGAGTACTTCTACTTTTACTCAAGTACAAGATCTGAAGTACTTCTACTTTTACTCAAGTACAATACCTGAGTACTTCTACTTTTACTCAAGTACAAGATCTGAGTACTTCTACTTTTAATCAAGTACAAGATCTGAGTACTTCTACTTTTAATCAAGTACAAGCTCTGAGTACTTCTACTTTTACTCAAGTACAAGATCTGAGTACTTCTACTTTTACTCAAGTACAAGATCTGAGTACTTCTACTTTAACTATAGTACAAGACCTGAGTACTTCTACTTTTACTCAAGTACCAGATCTGAGTACTTCTACTTTAACTAAAGTACAAGACCTGAGTACTTCTACTTTAACTCAAGTACAAGATCTGAGTACTTCTACTTTAACTAAAGTACAAGACCTGAGTACTTCTACTTTTACTCAAGTACCAGATCTGAGTACTTCTACTTTTACTCAAGTACCAGATCTGAGTACTTCTACTTTTACTCAAGTACAAGATCTGAGTACTTCTACTACAAGACCTGAGTACTTCTACTTTTACTCAAGTACAAGATCTGAGTACTTCTACTTTTTCTGAGTACTTCTACTTTTACTCAGGTACAAGACCTGAGTACTTCTACTTTTACTCACGAACAAGATCTGAGTACTTCTACTTTTACTCAGGTACAAGATCTGAGTACTTCTACTTTTACTCACGAACAAGATCTGAGTACTTCTACTTTTACTCAGGTACAAGACCTGAGTACTTCTACTTTTACTCACGAACAAGATCTGAGTACTTCTACTTTTACTCAGGTACAAGACCTGAGTACTTCTACTTTTACTCACGAACAAGATCTGAGTACTTCTACTTTTACTCAGGTACAAGACCTGAGTACTTCTGCTTTTACTTAAGGTCTGTGTACTTGTATGCGCTTAGAGTCCCTGGTATGGTCACTGATCAGAATCAGGTTTATCACCAGGTGGATTGACACGTACGAGGAATTTGACTTGATGTCATGGTGCATACATACAAGTAAAACAAAAATGATAATCTGGTGCGTTGGCGCTGCTTACAGTCGGACTCTTTGGCGAACACGTTCTCGGAGAGGTCGGAGGGCTCGCTGACGCCCACAGAGTTGATGGCTCGGACCCTCAGGATGTACTCCTTCTCGGGAACGACGCCCTCCTCCGCCGTCACGCGGAACTTCAGCTCCTTCACGGGACGGGAGTTGACTCTCATCCACTTCTCTGTGCCGGCAGCACACATCTCCACGTGGTACCCTCTGATGGGGCAGCCGCCGTCCCTCTGGGGGGGCTTCCAGGCGATGGACAGGAAGTCACGGCTGGCTCCGGTGACATGGAGCTCCACGGGGGGGGAGGGGATGCCTGGGGGGGACAGGGCAATTTGATTCATTATTATTATCGATCCAGGGCGGAGCTGCGGTTGGCTACAATTGCTCCATGACAAATAACTCTAATAATAAATAAAAGATTAAAAACTGTGATACAAATATTTGTACAAACAAAATAAGTTAATTAAAAATGTTGCAATAAAAGAAAGATATTTATCAAAAGAAAGGATGTTAAAGTAAAAATGTTCAATAAAAGTTTAAATAAACATAAAATAGAATACAAATATTTATATAAATATTAGGAGTTAAATAAAAAAGTTCTCTCCACCCGGCTCTTAATGTAATTAACAATATGTCAGTCCTCAGAGGTGAAGCACTGACCGGTGGGGTCCTCGATGGTCAGGATCTCAGTGGGCTCGCTGGGGTGTCCGGTGCCCGCCTCGTTCTCCGCGCTGACCTGGAACTGGACCTCAGTTCCCTCGATGACGTCCGTGACCCGGTACTTACAGTCTGGACCCGACGTCTTCCCGCACTTCACCCAGCGAGTGCCCAGCTTCTCCTTCTTCTCCAACGAGTATCTGCAGGACGAGGACACAGTCATTACTGCTGGATCGGCTTTTCAAGGTTTCAAATGTGGAAGTTCAAACATGTTAAAGGAATCGTACTTGAGGATTGGTCTTCCTCCGTCGTTCTTGGGCGCCTCCCACTGCAGGTCCACGTATCTCTTGGAGATGCCGAAGACGCTGAGAGCGTAGGGTGGGCCGGGAGCAGCTGCAGAACAATTATAAAATAAAGATTATTATTATCATCTCCGTCCTGAATAAGAGACCTCATCTGCTCCAAACTCTCTCTGTGACTCACAGAAGTTGTCCTTGGCCATGACGGAGTCTTTGAGCTCGCAGAACTCTCCGACTCCGACGCTGTTCTCAGCAGCGACGCGGAACACGTAGAGCGAGCCCTCGTTGAGCGGAGACACGGTGTACTTCAGCTCCTTCACCGTGGTGTCCACCGCCTGCCAGCCTTTACGCCTGGCGTCTCTCTTCTCCACCACGTAGTTAGTGATGGGGGCGCCGCCAGTCCTCTCCGGCAGAGACCACTTCAGATCAGCGCTGCTGCGGGTGACGCTCATCACATCCAGCCAGCGGGGTGCCGAGGGGGGGTCTGAGGAGGAGCGGGGGGGATTTTAATGTGTGCATTTAATTTAAGGTACAACAACCTGAGTTAAGTTTAACTTAAACCTGAGTTTAGATTCTTACTGAATCTCTCCTTGCAGAGTTGAACCTGACTTTAGTGTCTCTTACTGAGTATCTCCTTGCAGAGTTGAACCTGACTTTAGTGTCTCTTACTGAGTCTCTCCGTGCAGAGTTGATCCTGACTTTAGTGTCTCTTACTGAGTCTCTCCGTGCAGAGTTGATCCTGACTTTAGTGTCTCTTACTGAGTCTCTCCGTGCAGAGTTGATCCTGACTTTAGTGTCTCTTACTGAGTCTCTCCTTGCAGAGTTGAACCTGACTTTAGTGTCTCTTACTGAGTCTCTCCTTGCAGAGTTGAACCTGACTTTAGTGTCTCTTACTGAGTCTCTCCTTGCAGAGTTGAACCTGACTTTAGTGTCTCTTACTGAGTCTCTCCTTGCAGAGTTGAACCTGACTTTAGTGTCTCTTACTGAGTCTCTCCTTGCAGAGTTGAACCTGACTTTAGTGTCTCTTACTGAGTCTCTCCTTGCAGAGTTGAACCTGACTTTAGTGTCTCTTACTGAGTCTCTCCTTGCAGAGCACGGGCTCGCTGGGCTCGCTGGGTTCACTCTCTCCGGCCACGTTGATGGCTCGGACCCTGAAGGAGTACTCCTGCTTCTCCATCAGGCCCTTCAGGGAGTGCTCCAGCAGGTTGATGTTCTCGGCCACCCTGATCCAGTCCGTGGTGCCGCTCTTCAGCATCTCGATCACGTAGCCCTCGATCTTCGCTCCGCCGTCGTGCTCCGGCTTGGTCCACATGAGGAAGCAGGAAGTCTTCGCCACGTCCTTCACTGTGGGCTTACCTGGAGCCCAGGGGGGGTCTGGAGGAGACAGAGAACAGTGTTTATTAAAAAGGTGAGACAATCAGGAGTTTATTTCAATAACTGTGTCTGAGTTGCGATCTACTAATAGTTATCATCGCAATAAACCTATTTAATTTTGTCTTAATGTACATTATTTAATTTCATATTGTGTTCTTGTACATATCACACTTCTTGCACTATTTATTATTTGTATGTTTGTATTTTATTATACATGTTGTATTGTTGGAGGAGCTCAGGTCAGAAGAATGTCATCTCTACCCTGAAGCTGCTGAGCATGTGACGATAACACCTTTGGATTTGAAGTGTGTCAAATGTTAGCATTAGCATCATTAGCATATACAACAAATTCAGTAAACTTGTAATATAAAAATAATTGTGTTGACGTCAGTAATGAGGTGGGGGCGTTTCATGGTGATATCTGTTAGTGTCAGTTTGTACCCTATCCCGTGTCGTGTGTTTATCTGTTCTGAGTGAAAGTGTGTTTCCTACCGATGGGGTCTTTGATCAGGATCTGGTCCGTCTCCGCGCTGGGTTTTCCGGTTCCTGAGAGATTTTCCGCCAGGACTCTGAACTTGTACTTCTTCCTGGTGGGAAGACCTTTGACTCTGCAGAGGGGATAACAACAATGAGGAGCATGTTATTAAAAGATTGGAAACCAACGAAGAAGAGAGAGCTTTAGGGCTCACGTTGGAATCTCTTCAGCTGTAAATCAGGATAACAACCAAAAACACATTCAGAACACCATTGACCTTCCATATAGTTTACAATGTCTAACAAGCCTTTATGTAATTGTTGTGTCTTATCACCCTCTGTGTACACATCTGTATATTCCTTCTACTGTTGTGCTGTCTTTGAACGTTTCTTTATATAAGTTATTTACTTTTGGTATTTATATACTTTTTTATTATTATTTGACCTCATTTATTTGTATGTGTGGAGAATGTGTTCTGTGTTTGGGACGAGTGGACAAAAGGGGGTACATATTGGTGTCATGCTCCTTCTTGATTGTGTTAAATAAATATATCTGTTTTTTAAAGAGCACCATTGACCTCCAGACCAGGGGACAGGAGGTGTTTCCTGTCTCTCCAGGGGGGGTCTCACCTGTAGTTGGTGTCCTTGATGGGCAGCTTGTTGCAGCGGATCCACTTGTCGAGGTCGGCCTCGTAGCGCTCCACCCAGTACCCGGTGATCGGGCTGCCTCCGTCCTCGTCCGGCTCGTACCAGGCCAGCGTCACCGAGTCCTTGGCGATGTCCGACGCCTCCAGCTTGTAGGGAGCGCCGGGGGTGTCTGAGGAGGGGAGGGGGGGTTAGACACAGTGGAGGTACTGGTACAGGATGTTATACCAAAAACACACACATTTCGCTTGTGCTGCACTGGTTACCGGTTCCCTTCAGAATAGATTTGAAAGTGCTTTAATGATTTACAAGGCCTTGCCCCAACATATGTAAGTGACTGTCTCTCATTTGATCAACCAGCAAGGACACTTAGATCCTGAGCTAAACGCCAGAGCTCTGTAAAGAGCCCGATAAACATTCATCTGTTTGTCATCTTGCGATCTACTTATTTATATAAATAGTTTTCACCGCAATCAAACCGTATTTAATTTTGTCTTAATGTACATTATATAATTTCACATTCTGTTCTTGTGCATATTATAGTCTATTTACATGTTTATAGACTTCTTGCACTATTTTATTCTACATGTTGCATCGTTGGAGGAGCTCAGGTCAGAATCATTTCATTGCCATTTTGAACGTGTCGTACCGAAGGAGTATCTGGCGATGATGGGCAAGTGATCCGCGGGGGGTCCCACTCCGAACTGGTTCTCGGCGAAGACCCTGAAGAGGTACTCCTTGAACTTGGTGAGGCCCACAGCCTTGTAGGTGGTCTGCTTGACGGTGGAGGACAGGCGGTGCCAGATCTCGCTATCCACGTTTCTGCGCTCCACGATGTAGTTCGTGACCCTCGATCCTCCGTCGTCTCGGGGCGGGTTCCAGGCCAGGAAGCACGTCTCGTTGGTGATCTCCGAGATATCGAAGGCCGCGGGGGGGCCGGGCTTATCTGAGGGGGGGGGGGGGGGGGCAGGGTGATTATTATCCAGGACATAAGAGAGTAGGGATTTTTTAAGGGTTCCTACATATTTGTAAATGTGTAACCTTCAGACAGTCCACATTTGACATTCAAGTACAAATGTCTCAATGTTTTATAATTAAAATAAATGTTTTTAAATCAAACTTACTGACGGACTGCTTCAATTATTATCCAGGAATTAAAAACAAACTATGTCATAGTTCCCACACATTTCCATAATTCTGTATCTTTTACTAAATCAAATAAATTGATATTTGGTCAAACACAGTTTAGCAGTATGTTATAAAACACACAACATTATTATTTTTGGAAGTTCAACCTGTTAGATTAAATCGTGTATAACTTTCTATTTAATCCATTTGGAGATTTTCAAAGTAAAAGCCTCTAGAAGTGAACAATCCCTCTCAGTGAAACCTAGCTAAACCATCAGGGACAGTGTTGAGGAGCAGCCTTATCAAAATAAAGGCTCCAGGTGAAGTCTCTCACCCAGGATGTTGACGTCCACGGTGGCGGTGGCGCGCCCGCTGCTGTTGGTGGCCTCGATGATGTAGGTGGAGCTGTCGTCTCTCTGGGTCTTGGCGATGGTGACGGTGGAGTGTCCGGGGGTGGTGTCGATGGAGACCCGGTCCTCCGCCTTCAGAACCAGGTCTGCTTTGGTCCACTTCACGCGGGGCTCGGGTTTCCCCTTCACCTCGGCCGGCAGCTCGATCTTACTGCCCGCCTTCGCCGTGAGGCCGGCCAGCAGCTTGGCGTCCAGCTGGATCTCTGGAGCCTCTGCAGGGGGGAGAAGGATGTAATGAGGAGCTGTGCCACTTTATCTAAAACAATTATTTAGAAACCAAACCCTGAATGCTTCTGAGCAGGACCTCTGAACTCAAGCTTGCTATTTCTTTTCGTTGTAAAAGTTATTTGTTTTTGGTTGTTTTGCACAAAGAAATTATTTGTTTAAAACAAACCGTTCCCTACACTGCTCCCCGGGCGCCGTTCAAAATGGCAGCACACTGCTCCTAACACTAGGATGGGTCAAATGCAGAGACATAATTTCCCCACGAGGGATTAATAAAAGTCCATTTTAATGAATCTTTTACTGTGAAGGAGCAGGAGGGCTTTTATTCTGAAGGAGCAGGAGGGCTTTTATTCTGAAGGAGCAGGAGGGCTTTTACTGTGAAGGAGCAGGAGGGCTTTTATTCTGAAGGAGCAGGAGGGCTTTAACTGTGAAGGAGCTGGAGGACTTTTATTCTGAAGGAGCAGGAGGGCTTTTACTGTGAAGGAGCTGGAGGGCTTTTATTCTGAAGGAGCTGGAGGGCTTTTACTGTGAAGGAGCTGGAGGGCTTTTACTGTGAAGGAGCTGGAGGGCTTTTATTATGAAGGAGCAGGAGGGCTTTTATTCTGAAGGAGCTGGAGAGCTTTTATTCTGAAGGAGCTGGAGGACTTTTATTCTGAAGGAGCTGGAGGACTTTTATTCTGAAGGAGCAGGAGGGCTTTTATTTTGAAGGAGCAGGAGGGCTTTAACTGTGTAGGAGCAGGAGGGCTTTTATTCTGAAGGAGCAGGAGGGCTTTTATTCTGAAGGAGCAGGAGGGCTTTTATTCTGAAGGAGCAGGAGGGCTTTAACTGTGAAGGAGCAGGAGGGGCTTTTATTCTGAAGGAGCAGGAGGGCTTTTATTCTGAAGGAGCAGAAGGGCTTTAACTGTGAAGGAGCAGGAGGGCTTTTATTCTGAAGGAGCAGGAGGGCTTTAACTGTGTACTGGGATCAAGAAAGTACATCTTATCTTATAAAGAACTTGAGAGGTTTCTGGTCCTGTCTATGTTTAAAATAACCCCTGATGGACGTGGGTACCTAACTTGAGAGAGGTTTCTGGTCCTGTCTATGTTTAAAATAACCCCTGATGGACGTGGGTACCTAACTTGAGAGAGGTTTCTGGTCCTGTCTATGTTTAAAATAACCCCTGATGGACGTGGGTACCTAACTTGAGAGAGGTTTCTGGTCCTGTCTATGTTTAAAATAACCCCTGATGGACGTGGGTACCTAACTTGAGAGAGGTTTCTGGTCCTGTCTATGTTTAAAATAACCCCTGATGGACGTGGGTACCTAACTTGAGAGAGGTTTCTGGTCCTGTCTATGTTTAAAATAACCCCTGATGGACGTGGGTACCTAACTTGAGAGAGGTTTCTGGTCCTGTCTATGTTTGTATTTATTATTGTTATGTTTAAAATAACCCCTGATGGTACCTTTGGGGTCCACGGCCTGGATCTCGTCGGTGGCCTTGCAGGGTCTGCTGGCCCCCAGCTTGTTGAGGGCCCGGACCCTGTAGGCGTACCACTGGCCCTCGGTGAGGCCGGTCACCTGCACCTTCAGCTCGGGGACCATGTCTCCGCAGGGCTCCCACTTGTCGGTGCCTCTCTGCAGGCGGTCCACGTTGTAGCCGCGGATCCCGGCGCCGCCGTCGTACTTCGGAGGCTCCCAGGTCAGGAAGATACCGCTTGCCGACTTGTCTCTCCAGCGCAGGTTCTCGGGGGGGTCGGGGATCGCTGGGGGGAGAGAGGGGGAGAGAGGGGGAGAGAAAGAGGGGGTTAGGAAGAAACTCTGGACTATAATAATATATAATAACGTTTTATCTTTAACATAGACGACGGAGGAAGACCCATCCTCAAGTACGTTCCCTTTACTGTGTTTGAACTTCCACATGCCGATACCAACTATGTGCAATATATATATGCCCTAACAACTGTGCAATATATACCTGGACATTCTGACTGAGACCAACAGGATGATCGGGTGGATTGATGTGAAGGCTGCGTGTCAAAAGATTATTTATCTATTTTGTGCAAAAATGTGAGACGAACATTTTAACTTTTCTTGGAAAAAATGTTTGGAAAAAAATGTACAAATAAAATTTGTACGAAAAAGTGGCTTCAAAATGTGTGTTCAAAAAATGTGTAAAATGTTTAACAAGTTGTAGATTTAAAAAATCCAAACATTTAGTATCCCAGGTACGAACAGTCTCCACGTTGGTGAACACCTCTTAACTCTTTGAGACTCATTTATGTGAAATATATGTTTCCAACGCCTCAGCGACTCACTGGCGGGCGAGGACACGTTGACGGGCTCGTCGATGTACGCCGGCTCTCCCGGTCCACACTTGTTGCAGGCGGTGACTCTGAACAGGTACTCCTTCCCCTCCATCACGTCGGTCACCGTCAGCTCCTGGTCCTGGATCCCAGCGGTCACCTGAGAGGGGGGGATAGTTTAATAAATATCATGATGAATCTGTGAAGGAAACTAACTCATTATTATTATAGTTTAGAATCATTTTAGACCAGAACTTCATATAATCTACTTATTTATATAAGTAGTTCTGTTCTTGTATCATATTCTTGCACTATTCTTTATTTGTATTTCTGTAATTTATTATATATGTTGCATTGTTGAATTTCATTGCCATGTAGCTGCTGAGCATCTGATGATAACACCTTTGAGTCTTGAATCTTTGAATCTTAAACTGAATAATCATTTAGGATAGACAGTGTTACCTTGACCCAGGTCTTGCGGGACAGGTCTCTTTTCTCCACCTGGTACCCAATCAGAGGGCTTCCTCCGTCGTGCTCCGGCGCCTCCCAGCTCAGGTGCACGTGCTGCCGGGTCACCTCCAGAACCTTGAAGTCCTTCGGGGAGCTGGGCGCCGCTGCAGAGAGCACAAACACATGAATACACACACATTCAAAAAGAAAGGTTTTTAACTGGAACAACCGGACTACCCTGAAACTAAGGCTGATCTCAGAACAGTCAAATGTGGCAGATATATGTTAAAACTATTTTTATAAATTGTTTAATTTGATAATAAAATATGCTAAAAAAATTATAAAATCTCCGTAAAAAATTAAAGGATTATATTAAGAAAAATAAATAAAAACCAGACCTAGGTCAAACTTAACATGGCTACATAAATGAACTCGAAGCTGCATACAAATAAATAATGTAAATGGTAAGAAAGTGTGATAGGAAAAGAGAATGGAAAATACATGGAAAATGTGTCAATATATTAAAAAAGAAAAGTGAAAAAGTATCATTTCTAAAAGTGTATATCTTTGTGAAATCGTACCGATGACGTTGACCTCGATGTCTCCGCTGATGGAGGTCACGTCGTTCTCCAGCGTCAGGGTGTAGGTTCCCTTATCGGGGCGGACGCTCGGCATCACGATGAGCTCCGTGAACGAGGACTTGGTCGTCATGGAGACGCGCTCCTCGTTGGTGCTCAGCTGTTTCTCTCTGAACGTCCACTTAGCGACGGGCGTGGGGTACCCGGTGATCGGGACCCTGATGGTGAGGGGCTGCGGCACGATCACCTCCAGACCGTCTTTGAACGCACTCAGGTCGAAGGAAGGAGCGACTGCAGGGGGAGAGAGGTGCATGATGGGAACTGGACCTTTTACTGTATTTATATTTGATCATTTTTAGTCAGTGATAATTAAAACACTCACAGTGTGTGTCGTCTGCCAGCAGGGGGCCGATGGTGTTGGACGGGTCGGACAGTCCGGCGGCGTTCTCAGCGAACACTTTGTAGTTGTACTTCTTCCCGTATTTCAGACCAGACACCTGAAGGTAACACGTACAGGAACAGTGTCAAAATAAAATAAAATAAAATGAAAATGCTGGAGGGCTTTTACTTTGAAGGAGCAGGAGGGCTTTTACTTTGAAGGAGCAGGAGGGCTTTTACTTTGAAGGAGCAGGAGGGCTTTTACTTTGAAGGAGCAGGAGGGCTTTTACTTTGAAGGAGCAGGAGGGCTTTTACTTTGAAGGAGCAGGAGGGCTTTTACTTTGAAGGAGCAGGAGGGCTTTTACTTTGAAATCACTGCTGGAGGACTTTTAATGGAGAGAAGCTGCAAAAGACTTGTGTAAAGGGCTTAAAGACACCGTGAAGGCCACAGGCTTTTAGAATACTTTTACTTTGAAGGATCCACTGGAGGGCTTTTATTTTGAAGCAGCCAATAGAAGCAAATAACTGTGAAATGATTTTGCAGCTGCACAAAAAAGAGTGTTTAAAAAGCCTGACATTTTGGCACTTTTTACTGAAATGATCAGCTTCAAACTTCACACTAACTAAAGTCCCGTATCAGACGTTACTTAAGATGTATCCGAGGTGTTTTCCACACTAACTAAAGTCCCGTATCAGACGTTACTTAAGATGTATCCGAGGTGTTTTCCACACTAACTAAAGTCCCGTATCAGACGTTACTTAAGATGTATCCGAGGTGTTTTCCACACTAACTAAAGTCCTGTATCAGACGTTACTTAAGATGTATCCGAGGTGTTTTCCACACTAACTAAAGTCCCGTATCAGACGTTACTTAAGATGTATCCGAGGTGTTTTCCACACTAACTAAAGTCCCGTATCAGACGTTACTTAAGATGTATCTGAGGTGTTTTCCACACTAACTAAAGTCCCGTATCAGACGTTACTTAAGATGTATCTGAGGTGTTTTCCACACTAACTAAAGTCCCGTATCAGACGTTACTTAAGATGTATCCGAGGTGTTTTCCACACTAACTAAAGTCCCGTATCAGACGTTACTTAAGATGTATCCGAGGTGTTTTCCACACTAACTAAAGTCCCGTATCAGACGTTACTTAAGATGTATCCGAGGTGTTTTCCACACTAACTAAAGTCCCGTATCAGACGTTACTTAAGATGTATCTGAGGTGTTTTCCACACTAACTAAAGTCCCGTATCAGACGTTACTTAAGATGTATCTGAGGTGTTTTCCACACTAACTAAAGTCCCGTATCAGACGTTACTTAAGATGTATCTGAGGTGTTTTCCACACTAACTAAAGTCCCGTATCAGACGTACTTAAGATGTATCCGAGGTGTTTTTCCACACTAACTAAAGTCCCGTATCAGACGTTACTTAAGATGTATCTGAGGTGTTTTCCACACTAACTAAAGTCCCGTATCAGACGTTACTTAAGATGTATCCGAGGTGTTTTCCACACTAACTAAAGTCCCGTATCAGAACGTTACTTAAGATGTATCTGAGGTGTTTTCCACACTAACTAAAGTCCCGTATCAGACGTTACTTAAGATGTATCTGAGGTGTTTTCCCCCACTAACTAAAGTCCGTATCAGACGTACTTAAGATGTATCCGAGGTGTTTTCCACACTAACTAAAGTCCCGTATCAGACGTTACTTAAGATGTATCCGAGGTGTTTTCCACACTAACTAAAGTCCCGTATCAGACGTTACTTAAGATGTATCCGAGGTGTTTTCCACACTAACTAAAGTCCCGTATCAGACGTTACTTAAGATGTATCCGAGGTGTTTTCCACACTAACTAAAGTCCCGTATCAGACGTTACTTAAGATGTATCCGAGGTGTTTTCCACACTAACTAAAGTCCCGTATCAGACGTTACTTAAGATGTATCGAGGTGTTTTCCACACTAACTAAAGTCCCGTATCAGACGTTACTTAAGATGTATCTGAGGTGTTTTCCACACTAACTAAAGTCCCGTATCAGACGTACTAAGATGTATCTGAGGTGTTTTCCACACTAACTAAAGTCCCGTATCAGACGTTACTTAAGATGTATCTGAGGTGTTTTCCACACTAACTAAAGTCCCGTATCAGACGTTACTTAAGATGTATCTGAGGTGTTTTCCACACTAACTAAAGTCCCGTATCAGACGTTACTTAAGATGTATCCTGAGGTGTTTTCCACACTAAACTAAAGTCCCGTATCAGACTGTTACTTAAGATGTATCCTGAGGTGTTTTTCCACACTAACTAAAGTCCCGTATCAGACGTTACTTAAGATGTATCCGAGGTGTTTTCCACACTAACTAAAGTCCCGTATCAGAAGTTTACTTAAGATGTATCCGAGGTGTTTTCCACACTAACTAAAGTCCCGTATCAGACGTTACTTAAGATGTATCTGAGGTGTTTTCCACACTAACTAAAGTCCCGTATCAGACGTTACTTAAGATGTATCCGAGGTGTTTTCCACACTAACTAAAGTCCCGTATCAGACGTTACTTAAGATGTATCTGAGGTGTTTTCCACACTAACTAAAGTCCCGTATCAGACGTTACTTAAGATGTATCCTAGGTGTTTTCCACACTAACTAAAGTCCCGTATCAGACGTTACTTAAGATGTATCCGAGGTGTTTTCCACACTACTAAAGGTCCCGTATCAGACGTTACTTAAGATGTATCGAGGTGTTTTCCACACTAACTAAAGTCCCGTATCAGACGTTACTTAAGATGTATCCGAGGTGTTTTCCACACTAACTAAAGTCCCGTATCAGACGTTACTTAAGATGTATCTGAGGTGTTTTCCACACTAACTAAAGTCCCGTATCAGACGTTACTTAAGATGTATCCGAGGTGTTTTCCACACTAACTAAAGTCCCGTATCAGACGTTACTTAAGATGTATCCGAGGTGTTTTCCACACTAACTAAAGTCCCGTATCAGACGTTACTTAAGATGTATCCGAGGTGTTTTCCACACTAACTAAAGTCCCGTATCAGACGTTACTTAAGATGTATCCGAGGATGTTTTCCACACTAACTAAAGTCCCGTATCAGACGTTACTTAAGATGTATCCGAGGTGTTTTTCCACACTAACTAAAGTCCCGTATCAGACGTTACTTAAGATGTATCCTGAGGTGTTTTCCACACTAACTAAAGTCCCGTATCAGACGTTACTTAAGATGTATCCGAGGTGTTTTCCACACTAACTAAAGTCCCGTATCAGACGTTACTTAAGATGTATCCGAGGTGTTTTCCACACTAACTAAAGTCCCGTATCAGACGTTACTTAAGATGTATCCGAGGTGTTTTCCACACTAACTAAAGTCCCGTATCAGACGTTACTTAAGATGTATCCGAGGTGTTTTCCACACTAACTAAAGTCCCGTATCAGACGTTACTTAAGATGTATCCGAGGTGTTTTCCACACTAACTAAAGTCCCGTATCAGACGTTACTTAAGATGTATCCGAGGTGTTTTCCACACTAACTAAAGTCCCGTATCAGACGTTACTTAAGATGTATCCGAGGTGTTTTCCACACTAACTAAAGTCCCGTATCAGACGTTACTTAAGATGTATCCGAGGTGTTTTCCACACTAACTAAAGTCCCGTATCAGACGTTACTTAAGATGTATCCGAGGTGTTTTCCACACTAACTAAAGTCCCGTATCAGACGTTACTTAAGATGTATCCGAGGTGTTTTCCACACTAACTAAAGTCCCGTATCAGACGTACTTAAGATGTATCCGAGGTGTTTTCCACACTAACTAAAGTCCCGTATCAGACGTTACTTAAGATGTATCCGAGGTGTTTTCCACACTAACTAAAGTCCCGTATCAGACGTTACTTAAGATGTATCCGAGGTGTTTTCCACACTAACTAAAGTCCCGTATCAGACGTTACTTAAGATGTATCCGAGGTGTTTTCCACACTAACTAAAGTCCCGTATCAGACGTTACTTAAGATGTATCTGAGGTGTTTTCCACACTAACTAAAGTCCCGTATCAGACGTTACTTAAGATGTATCCGAGGTGTTTTTCCACACTAACTAAAGTCCCGTATCAGACGTTACTTAAGATGTATCCGAGGTGTTTTCCACACTAACTAAAGTCCCGTATCAGACGTTACTTAAGATGTATCCGAGGTGTTTTCCACACTAACTAAAGTCCCGTATCAGACGTTACTTAAGATGTATCCGAGGTGTTTTCCACACTAACTAAAGTCCCGTATCAGACGTTACTTAAGATGTATCCGAGGTGTTTTCCACACTAACTAAGTCCCGTATCAGACGTTACTTAAGATGTATCCGAGGTGTTTTCCACACTAACTAAAGTCCCGTATCAGACGTTACTTAAGATGTATCCGAGGTGTTTTCCACACTAACTAAAGTCCCGTATCAGACGTTACTTAAGATGTATCCGAGGTGTTTTCCACACTAACTAAAGTCCCGTATCAGACGTTACTTAAGATGTATCCGAGGTGTTTTCCACACTAACTAAAGTCCCGTATCAGACGTTACTTAAGATGTATCCGAGGTGTTTTCCACACTAACTAAAGTCCCGTATCAGACGTTACTTAAGATGTATCCGAGGTGTTTTTCCACACTAACTAAAGTCCCGTATCAGACGTTACTTAAGATGTATCCTGAGGTGTTTTCCACACTAACTAAAGTCCCGTATCAGACGTTACTTAAGATGTATCCGAGGTGTTTTCCACACTAACTAAAGTCCCGTATCAGACGTTACTTAAGATGTATCCGAGGTGTTTTCCACACTAACTAAAGTCCCGTATCAGACGTTACTTAAGATGTATCCGAGGTGTTTTCCACACTAACTAAAGTCCCGTATCAGACGTTACTTAAGATGTATCTGAGGTGTTTTCCACACTAACTAAAGTCCCGTATCAGACGTTACTTAAGATGTATCCGAGGTGTTTTCCACACTAACTAAGTCCCGTATCAGACGTTACTTAAGATGTATCCTGAGGTGTTTTCCACACTAACTAAAGTCCCGTATCAGACGTTACTTAAGATGTATCCGAGGTGTTTTCCACACTAACTAAAGTCCCGTATCAGACGTTACTTAAGATGTATCCGAGGTGTTTTCCACACTAACTAAAGTCCCGTATCAGACGTTACTTAAGATGTATCCGAGGTGTTTTCCACACTAACTAAAGTCCCGTATCAGAAGTTACTTAAGATGTATCTGAGGTGTTTTCCACACTAACTAAAGTCCCGTATCAGACGTTACTTAAGATGTATCCGAGGTGTTTTCCACACTAACTAAAGTCCCGTATCAGACGTTACTTAAGATGTATCTGAGGTGTTTTCCACACTAACTAAAGTCCCGTATCAGACGTTACTTAAGATGTATCCGAGGTGTTTTCCACACTAACTAAAGTCCCGTATCAGACGTTACTTAAGATGTATCTGAGGTGTTTTCCACACTAACTAAAGTCCCGTATCAGACGTTACTTAAGATGTATCCGAGGTGTTTTCCACACTAACTAAAGTCCCGTATCAGACGTTACTTAAGATGTATCCGAGGTGTTTTCCACACTAACTAAAGTCCAGTATCAGACGTTACTTAAGATGTATCCGAGGTGTTTTCCACACTAACTAAAGTCCCGTATCAGACGTTACTTAAGATGTATCCGAGGTGTTTTCCACACTAACTAAAGTCCCGTATCAGACGTTACTTAAGATGTATCCGAGGTGTTTTCCACACTAACTAAAGTCCCGTATCAGAAGTTACTTAAGATGTATCTGAGGTGTTTTCCACACTAACTAAAGTCCCGTATCAGACGTTACTTAAGATGTATCTGAGGTGTTTTCCACACTAACTAAAGTCCCGTATCAGACGTTACTTAAGATGTATCCGAGGTGTTTTCCACACTAACTAAAGTCCCGTATCAGACGTTACTTAAGATGTATCCGAGGTGTTTTCCACACTAACTAAAGTCCCGTATCAGACGTTACTTAAGATGTATCCGAGGTGTTTTCCACACTAACTAAAGTCCCGTATCAGACGTTACTTAAGATGTATCCGAGGTGTTTTCCACACTAACTAAAGTCCAGTATCAGACGTTACTTAAGATGTATCCGAGGTGTTTTCCACACTAACTAAAGTCCCGTATCAGACGTTACTTAAGATGTATCCGAGGTGTTTTCCCACACTAACTAAAGTCCCGTATCAGACGTTACTTAAGATGTATCCGAGGTGTTTTCCACACTAACTAAAGTCCCGTATCAGAAGTTACTTAAGATGTATCTGAGGTGTTTTCCACACTAACTAAAGTCCCGTATCAGACGTTACTTAAGATGTATCTGAGGTGTTTTCCACACTAACTAAAGTCCCGTATCAGACGTTACTTAAGATGTATCCGAGGTGTTTTCCACACTAACTAAAGTCCCGTATCAGACGTTACTTAAGATGTATCCGAGGTGTTTTCCACACTAACTAAAGTCCCGTATCAGACGTTACTGAAGATGTATCCGAGGTGTTTTCCACACTAACTAAAGTCCCGTATCAGACGTTACTTAAGATGTATCCGAGGTGTTTTCCACACTAACTAAAGTCCCGTATCAGACGTTACTTAAGATGTATCCGAGGTGTTTTCCACACTAACTAAAGTCCCGTATCAGACGTTACTTAAGATGTATCCGAGGTGTTTTCCACACTAACTAAAGTCCCGTATCAGACGTTACTTAAGATGTATCCGAGGTGTTTTCCACACTAACTAAAGTCCCGTATCAGACGTTACTTAAGATGTATCCGAGGTGTTTTCCACACTAACTAAAGTCCCGTATCAGACGTTACTTAAGATGTATCTGAGGTGTTTTCCACACTAACTAAAGTCCCGTATCAGACGTTACTTAAGATGTATCCGAGGTGTTTTCCACACTAACTAAAGTCCCGTATCAGACGTTACTTAAGATGTATCCGAGGTGTTTTCCACACTAACTAAAGTCCCGTATCAGACGTTACTTAAGATGTATCCGAGGTGTTTTCCACACTAACTAAAGTCCCGTATCAGACGTTACTTAAGATGTATCTGAGGTGTTTTCCACACTAACTAAAGTCCCGTATCAGACGTTACTTAAGATGTATCCGAGGTGTTTTCCACACTAACTAAAGTCCCGTATCAGACGTTACTTAAGATGTATCTGAGGTGTTTTCCACACTAACTAAAGTCCCGTATCAGACGTTACTTAAGATGTATCCGAGGTGTTTTCCACACTAACTAAAGTCCCGTATCAGACGTTACTTAAGATGTATCCGAGGTGTTTTCCACACTAACTAAAGTCCCGTATCAGACGTTACTTAAGATGTATCCGAGGTGTTTTCCACACTAACTAAAGTCCCGTATCAGACGTTACTTAAGATGTATCCGAGGTGTTTTCCACACTAACTAAAGTCCCGTATCAGACGTTACTTAAGATGTATCCGAGGTGTTTTCCACACTAACTAAAGTCCCGTATCAGACGTTACTTAAGATGTATCCGAGGTGTTTTCCACACTAACTAAAGTCCCGTATCAGACGTTACTTAAGATGTATCCGAGGTGTTTTTCCACACTAACTAAAGTCCCGTATCAGACGTTACTTAAGATGTATCCGAGGTGTTTTCCACACTAACTAAAGTCCCGTATCAGACGTTACTTAAGATGTATCCGAGGTGTTTTCCACACTAACTAAAGTCCCGTATCAGACGTTACTTAAGATGTATCCGAGGTGTTTTCCACACTAACTAAAGTCCCGTATCAGACGTTACTTAAGATGTATCCGAGGTGTTTTCCACACTAACTAAAGTCCCGTATCAGACGTTACTTAAGATGTATCCGAGGTGTTTTCCACACTAACTAAAGTCCCGTATCAGACGTTACTTAAGATGTATCTGAGGTGTTTTCCACACTAACTAAAGTCCCGTATCAGACGTTACTTAAGATGTATCCGAGGTGTTTTCCACACTAACTAAAGTCCCGTATCAGACGTTACTTAAGATGTATCCGAGGTGTTTTCCACACTAACTAAAGTCCCGTATCAGACGTTACTTAAGATGTATCCGAGGTGTTTTCCACACTAACTAAAGTCCCGTATCAGAAGTTACTTAAGATGTATCTGAGGTGTTTTCCACACTAACTAAAGTCCCGTATCAGACGTTACTTAAGATGTATCCGAGGTGTTTTCCACACTAACTAAAGTCCCGTATCAGACGTTACTTAAGATGTATCTGAGGTGTTTTCCACACTAACTAAAGTCCCGTATCAGACGTTACTTAAGATGTATCCGAGGTGTTTTCCACACTAACTAAAGTCCCGTATCAGACGTTACTTAAGATGTATCTGAGGTGTTTTCCACACTAACTAAAGTCCCGTATCAGACGTTACTTAAGATGTATCCGAGGTGTTTTCCACACTAACTAAAGTCCCGTATCAGACGTTACTTAAGATGTATCCGAGGTGTTTTCCACACTAACTAAAGTCCTGTATCAGACGTTACTTAAGATGTATCCGAGGTGTTTTCCACACTAACTAAAGTCCCGTATCAGACGTTACTTAAGATGTATCCGAGGTGTTTTCCACACTAACTAAAGTCCCGTATCAGACGTTACTTAAGATGTATCCGAGGTGTTTTCCACACTAACTAAAGTCCCGTATCAGAAGTTACTTAAGATGTATCTGAGGTGTTTTCCACACTAACTAAAGTCCCGTATCAGACGTTACTTAAGATGTATCTGAGGTGTTTTCCACACTAACTAAAGTCCCGTATCAGACGTTACTTAAGATGTATCCGAGGTGTTTTCCACACTAACTAAAGTCCCGTATCAGACGTTACTGAAGATGTATCCGAGGTGTTTCCACACTAACTAAAGTCCCGTATCAGACGTTACTTAAGATGTATCCGAGGTGTTTTCCACACTAACTAAAGTCCCGTATCAGACGTTACTTAAGATGTATCCGAGGTGTTTTCCACACTAACTAAAGTCCCGTATCAGACGTTACTTAAGATGTATCCGAGGTGTTTTCCACACTAACTAAAGTCCCGTATCAGACGTTACTTAAGATGTATCCGAGGTGTTTTCCACACTAACTAAAGTCCCGTATCAGACGTTACTTAAGATGTATCCGAGGTGTTTTCCACACTAACTAAAGTCCTGTATCAGACGTTACTTAAGATGTATCTGAGGTGTTTTCCACACTAACTAAAGTCCCGTATCAGACGTTACTTAAGATGTATCCGAGGTGTTTTCCACACTAACTAAAGTCCCGTATCAGACGTTACTTAAGATGTATCCGAGGTGTTTTCCACACTAACTAAAGTCCTGTATCAGACGTTACTTAAGATGTATCCGAGGTGTTTTTTCCGTACGTTGAAGCAGAGGTCTGGGCAGAGGCGGGTGTTGCACCGCATCCACTTGTCGGTTCCCTCCTCGCAGCGCTGTATGATGTATCCGGTGATCGTGCTGCCTCCGTTCCTCAGCGGCGTCTCCCAGCTCAGCTGCACAGAGTTCTTGTTCTGATCCTGCGAGACCAGGTTCAGGGGCGCACTGGGCCTCTCTGCAGAGGGGGGGTCGGAACATACATATCACTACATGCACTTCAGGGGTTATACCGTTTAGTCCTTGTTCTAACATGCTGCTGTGACAGAGAGATACCCCAGATTGGGATCGATTAAGTAGATCTGATCCCATACTGTCGCAGTGTTTTAGGCCGGGCAAAGTGGATTTCATAACAGCAGCAGAAAGAACTTAAATAAACAGTGGTGTAAGCATTGCAGATATTTATACATTTAATGTGTTGCTTTATGCAAAGTTGTGTTAAAGTCTGTGTGAGTTTGAGAGACTGTGAGGCTTTAAATGTCCACTAGGGGTCCATAAAGTGAATTTGAAGCTAATGCTAGCTTACCGATGGGGTCCATGATCTTAACGGGGAGCGAGGCGGCGCTGGGCTTCCCCTCGCCGGCCTTGTTCTGCGCCTTCACTCTGAAGATGTACTCCTTGTTCTCGATGACGTCGTTGACGATGGCGCTCAGCTCGTCGGCCTTTGTGATCTGCACGGGCGTCCACTTCACGGACGTGCGGTCGCGCAGCTCGATGATGAAGGAGGTGATGGGCGAGCCGCCGTCAGACTCCGGAGGATCCCAGGAGACGGTGCAGCCGAACTTCGTCACGTTTCCAACGATGACGTTCAGAGGAGCCTCGGGAACGTCTGGAAGTCATCGGACACAGAAAACAAGTCAGGAACCTGAGCACTCATTTTATATATAACCTCATTTATGAGATGCGTTGCCTTTCTAAGGGAATATGGATCATTTTTAGGCCATTCCCGTTTCTTGCTCATTTCTTAAACACATGTAAAAACTTGGAAAACATATGATCACTTTAGGCCCATTTGAAATGCATCATTAGGTCAGAACTGTTTCTCATCACCTGCTCGAATCAAATTGGTGTACCAATGTACTTAGACAACTTCCATTCCTTCATTTCGGTATTGCAATCCTCTTTTTATCATGACAAGATGTACAAAACTTGACTATCTGTCTATAAAATATGCTCTAGACACAAAAACACAAAAAAAACTGCATTTAAGAAAACAAATGGATGCCTTTGTAACGGCATTTGTTTTCACAGTGTAGTTGATGTGTGCTCGTGTCAACCCAATAATACACCTTGAATCTATCACTTCAAATTGAAACCCAGTCTTACCAAACTTGTTCTTGGCCTGTACGGGTTTGTCGGTGTCCACGTTGGGTCCACTGCCGACCCGGTTTCTGGCGCAGACTCTGAACAGATACATGGAGTCCTTCTGGAGTCCGGTCACTGTGTACTCCGGACTCTCGGAGTGATCCGTGGCCAGAGTCCACGTCTTACGCTTCACGTCGCGTCTCTCAACAACGTAGGCAATGACCTTAGCGCCGCCATCGCTCTCAGGCTCCTCCCACACCAGACTCACCTCGCCGTCGGCGGTGTCGACAACCTGGAAGTTCTTCACGGGTCCAGGGACGTCTGGAGAAACAAGAGGAGGGTTAAACAGTGGTGCAGGGAGGTGGTATTTCTCCATCAGCATCTTCCTGGTCCAATGGGATTTCTCCATGTGATTTTGGATTAAAAATCTAAATGAAAGGCAGCTAATGTTGGGCTATAAAGGAACTATAGCACGGTCACACGACTCCTAATGTAAGATAAAGTAATGAAGTGTGTTTTGTCCCAACATTTTCCTTGTTTTTCAAACCCCTGTGTTCAGACTCACCGATGACCTCCAGGTTGATGAAGGCCTCCCCCTGCCCGTGCTTGTTCTTGATGGTGATCTTGTAGCGGCCCTCGTCGGACTTCAGCGGGTCCTTCAGCCTGAGCTCTGTGCGGTCGGCTGAGGTGTGGATGTTGTCCTTGGGCAGACTCAGGTTGTTGTACATCCAGTCGGCCTCGGCCTGAGGGTAGGCGCTGTACGGGACGGCCATGACGATGGGCTTCCTGGCGTCAGTGACGTAGCTCTGGTCTGTTGTCTTGATCTGAGGCACCGCTGCAGGAGGAGGAGGTAACAGGGTCAGAGAGACAACAACACTGGACACACTGTGCTCATTTATGGGAATCAGGTTCCCTCTTTATTCATCGTTAACATCTTCCGATCCTGGAGTATCAATGTATTATCCTTTAATGACTGAATTTGTGGTGTTTGCTGCACCTCAGGGACAGTGTTTGGTGCGTCTCTTACCTGCGAGCTCCAGCTTGGCCTTGGCGTCTTTGTCCTTGACGACGAGTCTGTACTCGCCCTGGTCTCTGGGCCGGATCTCGCAGACCTGCAGCCGGTGGATCTTGCCCTCGCTCATCATCTGGTACTTGTCTCCCTGCACGACTGTCATGTTGTTCCTCAGCCACTTCACCTCCACGCGGTCCTTGTTCAGCTCCACCTCGAACACTACGTCCGAGCCGGGGGCCTGGAACGCGTCCTGGGGGGGTCTGATGATCTCCACTGGGGTCTCTGCAGAACAGGAAGGGATTATGAGCAGGGACTACTTTATCACAAAAACATCCTTTATATTAAAGAGTGAATCCTCACCGTCGATGAAGAGCCGGGCTCTGGATCTCTTGTCGTCGACTCCGCAGGCGTACTCACACTCATCCTCGGGTCTGCACTCCTTAATGCGCAGCATGCACATCTTCCCTTCTCTCACAAATGTATATCTGGAGAAACAAAAAAAGTACGTTATGAGTCAGTCAGTTGAATTTCTGTTTAACAGAAGAAGTCCATGTTTTACCTTTTTCGCAAAAAACTGAATATGATCATTTATTTTTCTCAAATCGATTAATATGTAAATATAAATCCCTTATCTCACGTCCGTTTGCAAACAATCTATGTCAATTGTTAAAAAAACAAAGGGGCCCAAGTTTGAACCTTGTGGTACCCCTTAAGGACTTGATGAATGCCGTACCTGGGTCCTTCTCTGATCTCCTGTCCAGTTTCTGAACTATTGATGTATATAGCAAATAAAAGAGGGCCCAGGATCGAACCCTGCGGTGCCCCTTCAAACCTGATTATCTACAAAGACCTTTGTAATGTTGGTTTTTGAGACAGAGCTCTATAGATATATTGATAGGAGCCGTACCTGGGTCCTTCTCTGATCTCACGTCCGTTCCTGTACCACTTGGGGTCTGCATTGTCTTTGGTGAGTTTGCAGGTGAACTCTGCGTCCTCGAACTCTGTGATGGTCTGGTCCTTCAGCTGTATGCTGAAGTCGGTGGGCGCCTCGCTGATGATCAGCTCCGCCGTGCACTTGCTGTCTCCAGCCATGGCGGTGTACTCGCCCTCGTCGGCAAGCGTACAGTCCTTGATGGTGAGCGTGTGCTTCTCTTTGTCCGCCCGGTATGCGATGCGTTTACTGAAGGCGATCTCCTGGCCCGCCTTCATCCACTTCAGCGTGGCGTTGGGCCGGTTCACCTTGCAGGAGAAGACGATTGTGTTCTTCTCCTGAGTGTCGATATCCTCCAGAGGAACCACGAACCTCATGCTCTCCTCTGAAACACACAAAGAACACCGTCAGGTCATGTGATCAACTCTGGCACCAATTAAAGAGTGATATACATATGTATTCTACTTCACCACTCTCACCGTGTCACGGACAACACCTAAACATACCTTTGTAGATTTACACAGTTGTTTGTGTATTTTCTACATTATATGATTTATATAAATCTTATCTAAAATGAGTCCTCTCTAATTGGCCGGGTTGATGTTTAAGTATACATTTTATATTCTTATCATATATTATTCCCTTATGAAATATCATTACCTTTGACCAAAGAAGAATACATGTTGTATTCTATGTTATTACCTTTGACGGAGAGGTTGCAGGCGCTCTTGGCCTGCTCTCCTCTCTGATTGGTCAGGTTGATGCTGTACTCGGACTCGTCTCCCTTCTGGGCGTCTTTGATCCTCAGCGAGAACACGTTGTCTCTCTGCACCATCACGTACTTGCTGCTCTCGAACACCGTCTCCTCCTTCTTCAGCCACTTGGCCTTCGCTCCCTCTGTGTTCACCTCGCAGTTCAGAACCACTTCCTGTCCCTCCTTGGCCTCCGTGTCCTTCAGCGCCGTGATGATCCTCAGCTTCTCTGCAGGGCGAAACGGATCCATGTTAGTGTTACAAACTCAACGTAAGCTGGAGTATGACATTTCAAATGCTGTCGGTAATAAGGTTGTAAAATACTGTTAGAATATAAACTAAGATAAGAAGTACTTTATTGATCCCAATGTGGGAAATGTTTGCGTTGCAGCAGCATAAGAAGACAAGGCGTTGAACTTTAGAGAAATGAATAGACTAGAAATAAACAATTCAAAAAGTAAACGTCTCAAAGCAGCTTATAAAGCAGGATATTATAAACACAAGTGTGTGAGGAATGGAATATTACATCTGAAAGTGAAGATACATGTCAAATGTAGAGTGTGAATGTGATAGGTCCAGTTGTCCAAGAGGAGCTATGGAGCAGAGAGTTCTCTTCCAGCCGGAGGAGATTTGTTAAAAAGACGCAGCAGGAATGGAACTATGAACACTTGGACTTCTCTTTGTGCTGTTTCTGTTTCGGATTTTGTGTAAAGCGTCTTTGAGCACTGGCACCTCAGTGGGCGGGGCTTACCGAGCACGGTGAGGTCTGCGCTGGCGCGCGTCGCTCCGATCATCACCACGTAGGCGCCCTCGTCCTTGGGCTCGCTGTCCTTGATGACCAGCGAGCGTCTCTTCCCGTCGCTCAGCATGCTGAACTTGCCTCCGGCCTGCAGCTCCGAGCCGTCCTTCAGCCACTTCACCTCGAACGTGTCTTTGGAGACGGAGCAGCTGAACTCCGCCTTCTCGCCCTCCACCACCTCCACGCTGTGCGGCCGCGAGATGAACTCTGCAGCCAGCTCTGAGAGGAGGAAGCAGCAGGGGTCAGAGGTCACACACGCATCAAGGTGAACACAGGTTACTTCCCTTTCTGTGTTCCTATTTAGTTCTTGTGACATCATACAAGGACCATCTACATATGTCTCCTTATGATAAAAATATATTTCAAGTCATACAAGAACAGAAAAGGTTGAGTTCCAAGTAAAACACTCCCAATGTTACTTTTTAATGAATAAGCCTTTTTCTATGAACCTACAATGACCCTTATATGCCGGCTTATGTTGCCTGGTTGCATCATTCTTGTAACTTGAGCCTAAAGAGATACAGTTATTATAAAAACACCTTATAGTCCTAATCTCTAAAGTTATCATGAGAATATTCCTCCGTACCGTTAATCTTGTCCTAGAAAGATTAAGTAATTCGAAGATCTCTCCGCACGTTGATCTTGTCTAATAATAATTACATTATTATTAAAAAGTGTTCTCTCCCTGTACCGTTGATAATAAAGTTATGATGAAATAGATCTCTCTCCTCACCGTTGATCTTGAGGGTCCCGGAGGTCTTGATGCTGGCGCTCAGCCTGCAGGTGTACTCCGCGGCGTCGACCATCTTCAGGTCCTGGATCAGCAGGATCCTCCTCTTCCCGTCCACGATGTGCTCGTAGCGGCCGCCCTCCGGCAGCTCCTCGTCTCCTCTGAACCAGCGCACCTCGGCCGAGGGTTTGGACACCTCGCAGATCAGCTTCACGCTGTCCGTCTCCGTGCCCTCCACGCTGGACAGGCTCTTACTGAAGCGCGCCTCCTCCTCTGTGGACACAACGCCCCGTCAGAATAAGGCTCTCAGACACTTTCACATACTTCATATAACGGGTAAATAGAAAATAAAAACCAAAAGATTTGCGTACGTTTTTACTGGATTGATAAAGACTAAATATGATTTATCTTTTTCTTCATTTTGTATCAAAACGATCTCACAAACAAGTCAATCAGAACATATTGAGGCTAATTATGAATTAGCTGAAGGTTAGTATCTTAGTTGCACTGCATGCTCAGCGGAACCCAAGTTGTTCCCGTATGGAAACCTTGCTCTGGATCTGTGATATATATGAAATATTCCTTACCGACGACGGTGAGCATGCCGGAGGACTTGATGGTTTTGGCGTCGCACTCGTACTCCGCCTCGTCGTCGAACACAGACTTGTGGACGATGAGGACGTGCTGCCGGCCCTGAGACACCATCTCGTACTTCTTCCCTTTCCTGATTTCACTTCCGTCTTTGAACCAGCGGACCTGAGAGAGAGGAGGAGGAGCGTGAGACACATCGTCTTTAAATCAGACCTTTATTGATCTGTTTATCCGTGGACGGACACTCACCTTGACGTCCTGTCTGGACACTTCACACTCAAACCTGGCAGATTCCTTCTCTTTCACTTCCACGTCGTGCAGCGGCTTCGAAAACTCGATGTGTGGAGCTGAGGACGCACAAATAGAATTAAACACTTTAAATGATTCCTCATCAGGGTCTATGAGGGTCCTCAAGTCTAATGGGACACTTGATAGGAACTTCTAAAAGTCTTTAAGGGTCTTTTCAAGGGTTTTCATGAGGGTTCCTTCACTTCTTCATGGGTCATTAACCTCTTACAAGAGATTTCTTAACTTTTATAAGGGTTTCTTTACAATTTTGATTGGCTATTTCAGTAATATGAAGGGTTGTTTAACGATTAAAGAGCTGATGAGTATTTAATTGACTCTTAGAGGGGGGTAGGGTCTAGCATCTTGCTTCTATCATGGTCTGTTAACTCTTTACAAAGGGTTTCCCTGACTAGAAGTGATTCAGATTTGTCCTTAACTCTCATTTCAATTTCATTTTTAAAACTTAAAACCTCCTGAAGACGGTTCCTTAGCTAGAACTCTAAGGTAGTTCCTTTATTAGTCTTCAAAGGGTCTCTAGACTTCCCTGGAAGCTCCTTAAGCTTTTTCTAGGCTTTTCAGAGAGGTCTGTCTACTGTAACGACATCCCTCTCGATATCTAAAGAGTAACCGTTCTCTTCTATGAACGCGTTTGGTTTCCCTGCTGAACCATTTTCAGGAGGTAAAATTTATTTTGAAGGATCTTAAAACCTTCTGAAGACGGTTCCTTAACTCTAAGGTAGTTTCTGTGTTAGTCTTCAAAAAGGGTCTCTAAAGTTCCCCAGAAGCTCCTTAAGCTTTTTTCAGAGAGGTCTGTCTACTGCAAGACACCTCTCTTGATATCTATAGAGTGACCGTTCCCTGCTGGACTCACGCTCCACGTTGAGGAAGCAGGAGGTCTTGAACTGCTTGGCGTCGCAGGCGTACGTCCTGGAGTCGTCCAGCGTGCAGTCGTGGATGATCAGCGCCCTCTTGTGGCCGTCCACGATCATCTCGTACTTCTTTGTCTTCCTGATCTCCGTGCCGTCCTTGAACCATCTCACCTCGGCCTTCTCCCGGGACACTTCACACTCCAGTGTGGCCGTGGCCTCCTCCTCCACCGTCTGGTCCTGCAGAGGCTTCGAGAACTCCACCGCCGGCTCTGAACCCCCAAACAGAAACATATGTTATTGAGCTTTACCTATGGAAACCTCCAGTGGGGAATCAGCAGTTTCTCAGAGTGCCTCGGCAGACCTTTGACGATGAGGTTGGCGTCCGTCTGGAAGTCCTTGGCGGTGAGTTTGATCTGTCCGGCTTCATTGAGCTTGACGTCCCTCAGAGTCAGGCTGTGGACTTTAGCTTCCGACTTCAACACCACCTGTTCAACACACCAGGTATTAGGAGGGTTTGCACCACCCTGCGCATTGACTGCCAGGCTCTACAGAGTCATGCAGCCTTCAGACCGGACGCAGGGTATTTAAAATCCAACCAGCGTGCTAATCAAGAGCGCTAGCTAGCTGTGTGGCGCTCAGCAGAGAACCCTATAATACTTCATATCTTAGCTTCATCATACCCTCCATATTCCCTCTGTATATAATACTTATGCATATCAGACTACCCTGCACTCCACCCTTCCTTGCGCTGCTGCTCAGATACTAACCACATCTTGTTGTCGATGTGCAATGACAATAAAGATCTGATTGAATCCAATCTGATGCCATGCATTGTTAAAACACAGCTGCGATTTCAACTTGGTTGGGAAACGCTTTTTTGCATCATGTGATTAAACTTGGTGTCATGTATTTGGCGTGGCTATGGCTTAGTGTGCTTATCTGTATATGGGGGGGTTGCTGGTTCAATCCCCCCACCTGCAGTCAGCACGTCAAAGTTTCCTCGAGGAAGATGCTGAACGCTGTATTGCTCCCGTTGGCGTGTCAAAGTATTGAAGTGTCTAAATACCATGTCATGTAATGTATATATACTGTAGGTATTTCTAAATCTATTTTCCATTTACGACTTCTGTAACTGCCTCGATCCTATTGGCTGCTTTGGACATTCGTCACAGTTTTAAAAAGTTAACCCGTGTTCAACTCTGGGCTTTCTGCCTGGTTTACGACTTTATATTGAGATTCATAGAACTTTATTCATAATGTGTTAGCCAATAGGAGCCCTAGCCAATAGGAGCCCTAGCCAATAGGAGCGCTAGCCAATAGGAGCACTAGCCAATAGAAGCGCTAGCCATTAGGAGCGCTAGCCAATAGGAGCGCTAGCCAATAGGAGCACTAGCCAATAGGAGCGCTAGCCAATAGGAGCGCTAGCCAATAGGAGCACTAGCCAATAGAAGCGCTAGCCATTAGGAGCGCTAGCCAATAGGAGCGCTAGCCAATAGGAGCGCTAGCCAATAGGAGCACTAGCCAATAGGAGCACTAGCCAATAGGAGCGCCCTCCATTGTTCTGTTCTCTAACATAATACAATTGTTTCTATTATTTAATAGCATTGCGTTTCATATGGAGGTAATCCAAAAGAAAGTAATCTGGATACTTTTAAAGTTTGATAACCAGATGTATTTTTACAGGTAACTCGTTTTTGTAACGGATTATATTTTTAAACTGCGACTCCCTGCATATGCACCATATACATGTATGCATATGTGTGTGTGTGTGTGTGTGTGTGTGTGTGTGTGTGTGTGTGTGTGTGTGTGTGTGTGTGTGTGTGTGTGTGTGTGTGTGTGTGTGTGTGTGTGTGTGTGTGTGTGTGTGTGTGCAGGGTCAGCCTTTAGCCTGACAGCTAAATGAATGCAGGCAGCTGCTCCTCCCCCGATTTAAACTGCGAGGCCTCCTGACGGCTGCCCCCCCCCTCAGGCTGGATTTCACTTACCTAACACATGCATCACACTGCATCATATCATCTCTTATTCTCAATATTTGTTGGTTAATAAATATTTCGGCTACATTTAGTTTATATGTTTATATTTATCTCACAGGAAGAAATCCGTTCAAAATAAAACTCTTCAATGACGATCAATTAAAATATCTTCACTTTTCGCTTGTTTTAACAATAACAAATATGAACATTAATAAAAGAGTATCTATGTTTCGTTGACACGAGGACATATATGTTGTTTGTATCGTTCCCTTGTGTGTTCATCTCACAGGGTCAGAGTGTGAAACTCTTCAATGAGGACACATCGTAGGAAGATGTGTTTAAAGTCACTGGCTGTTCCATAAATCACAAAGCAGCTATGGTAAAGGATTGCTTTTGGGTTTTAACTCTACAGAATCACCTTTATTATATTTAAGGTGGTTACTAAGGGTCAGATATTTATTTAAGTCAGTTTCTATCAAGAGTGTAAAAAGCAAACTGTGATCCAAACGTTAGAAATTAATGACTTAAAAGGCACTTTTATTTTTGGTACCTTCAACAAATACTTTGTGTTTTGTATTTGTATGCATGGTGTGTGTGTTGGGGGGGTGTGAGGAGTTTCATTGTTTTATTGCTCAGCTGGAGGTGTGTGTGCTGCTTAGTGTCGTAAGGAAACATCTTAGTGTCGTAAGGAAACATCTTAGTGTCGTAAGGAAACATCTTAGTGTCGTAAGGAAACATCTTAGTGTCGTAAGGAAACATCTTAGTGTCGTAAGGAAACATCTTAGTGTCGTAAGGAAACATCTTAGTGTCGTAAGGAAACATCTTAGTGTCGTAAGGAAACATATTGATGTCGTAAGGAAACATCTTAGTGTCGTAAGGAAACATCTTAGTGTCGTAAGGAAACATCTTAGTGTCGTAAGGAAACATCTTAGTGTCGTAAGGAAACATCTTAGTGTCGTAAGGAAACATCTTAGTGTCGTAAGGAAACATCTTGATGTCGTAAGGAAACATCTTAGTGTCGTAAGGAAACATCTTGATGTCGTAAGGAAACATCTTAATGTCGTAAGGAAACATCTTAATGTAAGGAAACATCTTAATGTAAGGAAACATCTTAATGTAAGGAAACATCGTAATGTGGTAAGGAAACATCTTAATGTGGTAAGGAAACATCTTAATGTCGTAAGGAAACATCTTGATGTGGTAAGGAAACATCTTGATGTCGTAAGGAAACATCTTGATGTCGTAATGTGGTAAGGAAACATCTTGATGTCGTAAGGAAACATCTTGATGTCGTAATGTGGTAAGGAAACATCTTGATGTCGTAAGGAAACATCTTGATGTGGTAAGGAAACATCTTGATGTCGTAAGGAAACATCTTGATGTCGTAAGGAAACATCTTGATGTGGTAAGGAAACATCTTGATGTGGTAAGGAAACATCTTGATGTCGTAAGGAAACATCTTGATGTCGTAAGGAAACATCTTGATGTCGTAAGGAAACATCTTGATGTGGTAAGGAAACATCTTGATGTCGTAAGGAAACATCTTGATGTCGTAAGGAAACATCTTGATGTCGTAAGGAAACATCTTGATGTCGTAATGTGGTAAGGAAACATCTTGATGTCGTAAGGAAACATCTTGATGTCGTAAGGAAACATCTTGATGTCGTAATGTGGTAAGGAAACATCTTAATGTCGTAAGGAAACATCTTGATGTCGTAATGTGGTAAGGAAACATCTTGATGTCGTAAGGAAACATCTTGATGTCGTAAGGAAACATCTTGATGTGGTAAGGAAACATCTTGATGTGGTAAGGAAACATCTTGATGTCGTAAGGAAACATCTTGATGTCGTAAGGAAACATCTTGATGTCGTAAGGAAACATCTTGATGTGGTAAGGAAACATCTTGATGTCGTAAGGAAACATCTTGATGTCGTAAGGAAACATCTTGATGTCGTAAGGAAACATCTTGATGTCGTAATGTGGTAAGGAAACATCTTGATGTCGTAAGGAAACATCTTGATGTCGTAAGGAAACATCTTGATGTCGTAATGTGGTAAGGAAACATCTTAATGTCGTAAGGAAACATCTTGATGTCGTAATGTGGTAAGGAAACATCTTGATGTCGTAAGGAAACATCTTGATGTCGTAAGGAAACATCTTGATGTGGTAAGGAAACATCTTGATGTGGTAAGGAAACATCTTGATGTGGTAAGGAAACATCTTGATGTGGTAAGGAAACATCTTGATGTGGTAAGGAAACATCTTGATGTGGTAAGGAAACATCTTGATGTCGTAAGGAAACATCTTGATGTGGTAAGGAAACATCTTGATGTGGTAAGGAAACATCTTGATGTCGTAAGGAAACATCTTGATGTCGTAAGGAAACATCTTGATGTCGTAAGGAAACATCTTGATGTCGTAAGGAAACATCTTGACGTGTGAAAGTGAATCTGAGGCTCAGTGATCAGCTGTTATCCAACAGGACGCTTCAAAGGTTCCTTGAAAGGTGATGTAATGCTCAGTAACGTTTGTTTTACAGATTAAACAACATAGAGAAATGTCCTGCAGCTCAAGCTGAGAGCTGAGAGACACACACCTACTGTTGGTTCTTCAGAACGAAACAGAACTGATCTGAAAGTAACCTGCTAACTTCCACGCCTCGGCTGAATCCCCACCGCAGCCTTATGAGACAGGATTTGAACACAACCCACTCTGCCTTGGGACTAAGCTGATTAGAGCGTTCACACGTTCCCTCCCTCTTGGCTGTAGGGTTCTTCTTCATGGAGCAGCTTGATGTAACAGCATGCAGTAAATCACATTGCACAACGCGCACAGAGATCATGTATCAGTCTTAAATTACATCCAGTAATAATCAAACTAATCCCGCACTATGCCTGATATCCTCTCAGAGACCGCCCTCACACCCCCACGCTCTGAATGATTGAATAAACATTTAAAAACGCTTTAAAAGCTGTCAGTGTCAGACCTGCCACCTGCCCTGCGCCCCGTTAAAAATAACCCCAGAAACGCTTACAGGGCAGAAAGCTCCAAAGCAGATCGAATGCAGCGCAGGAATCCAGGCCCTTATATGCAGACAAACTCAACTGTGTGTGTGTGTGTGTGTGTGTGTGTGTGTGTGTGTGTGTGTGTGTGTGTGTGTGTGTGTGTGTGCAGGTGTACAGCAGGCCTACAGGAAGGGTGTGTGCTCAGGTGTGTGTGGACTCACTCTGTCGCTTGGCTCCAGCTTGGTACCCCCAAGGAACCACTCGACGGCGATGCCCTCGTACGACAGCTCGCACTCGAAGGTGGCCGTCTCTCCGGCGGTCACCGAGGCGTCCGCCAGGGGCCGAGCCAGGGCGATGACCCGCGCTTTGGATTGGGGAGAAGACATGGTTAGTCCCCCCCTTAAAACAGGTCGATGTAAATCCACACAGAGTGCTTAATCCTGGGATGTGCTCCTCATGGCTGCTGCTGCTGCTCCGAGGCCAGAAGAAGCCTTCAGGACTGAAAGCTCTCTCTTGGGGGGTTGACGCTGGGGGGGGGGCGCTCATTAGCATTACGGCCACCAGTGAGGGCTGGGGTCGCGTCCTCCCCCCCGCCAATCTCTGTGAACCTGCTCTACATAAGGCATGTGGCTTCTAAAATAACCGAGGGTCCCGATTGGCTGAGAGCCCAGTGAGAAAAATAGGAGAAGGGGGGTTGCAAATCTGCTCCTGTCAATCAACACGTGACCATTTACTGGAAAAGAGGAATCCACCTAATGTCCGTCTGCAGGACAATGTGGATACAATGTGTTTGTGTGTGTGTGTGTGTGTGTGTGTGTGTGTGTGTGTGTGTGTGTGTGTGTGTGTGTGTGTGTGTGTGTGTGTGTGTGTGTGTGTGTGTGTGTGTGTGTGTGTGTGTGTGAGTGATGATCCAGGGTGTCAGTTTAGATTAACAAGTAGCATCAAGTATTTACAGCGGCTGCCTCACATGCCTGAATTAAGGCCTGTTTAACGGCCGGTAAGAGTGTACACACACACACACACAAACAAGCAAACACACACACACACACTCTGACTCACTGACAGCTCACACACACTTAACTCTGGATGATATGGAAACAGTAACACACACTGGGGCCTTCGGGGAGTTACAGCGCTACACTTGGTCGCAGGTTGGAATGATTACTTTATTCTAAGTCCTTCATGTTTAGTTTGAGTCAGGGACACATCTGTCCCTTCACTTTGAGTCGTAGCTGGCTCTCTGTCAGTATCTGAGTCAGACTAGATGGAGTGAGCCGCTCTGGACGCCTCAGTGATAGCGAGGTGTCTCCCGATGTCCTGCAGGAGCAGATCTGTTCCATTGAACGGGGAAATGCACCTTTACATGTTTTTAAATCCTGCTTTCAATGAACACGCTCTTTAAAGCCAGAGGAAAGAAACGGCTCCACTTGTTCCCACATGTCATCAGCCAGAATGAAACTGTGTGAGACTCCAGGGGTCTGTGTGTCCCCTGGAAATAACGCTGTCCATTCAAACCAGATTAAAGCAATATCTTCAAAGTTTCTAGGATAATGGAAAAGTGTGCAGTTATATTTCCAGATCAACACTAGCTTAGCATAACAACCTCAAACTGATATCATGTGAGGCCCATCCTGTGCCATTATAAACACATCTGACGTATCTTCTATCCATCATTTGAAGTCATTGTAAATATAACAAATATATATATTCTGTTACTGAAGTGCAGTATGTGTGTCATTATGCCTCCTTGTTTATGTGGCTTGTTTTTGTTTACATTAACACAAAGTTACATTTGACCCAGAAATCATCATTAGGCGAATTTAAAAATGTGACTTCAAAAAGCTGAAAAAGAGTCGCCTTTTCCAGTGAAACCCGACGTGAGCCAACCAATCAAGATGCTCGTGAGGATGTGTGGCATGTTCCTCTAACAACATCCAGGCAGGAAACATGTTACAAAGTGTGTGAACGAAGAGAAGAGAGTCGTCTGCATAGAGTCTAACAGCGTCAGTGTTGTTCCTGTCACCTTTGACCCTGAGCTGAGCGGAGGACTTGGCGTTGGCTGCGGAGAAGTCGATGCTTCCTGCCATGTCCATCTTGCAGTTGAAGATGACCAGGATGTGTCTCGCTCCCTCGTCCTTAATCTCCACATCCTGAGACAAAGACATTCAGACTTTAGACTTCAAACAGAAACGTAGAGAGAGTTTTCCTTTTGTGTTCATTTCAGATGAACTGACCATTCCTTCCACTTCTACTACTTTAGCTTCATTCCCCCGAATACATGTTTGTTCTAACAGGGACTAACAGCGTCTTAACTCATCACTCCTAGGCAGAAAGCAACCTCTCCAGAATGTTCTGACCCATTCAAACATTTCCCAGCAGGAACTTATAATAAGTCTGTCTTTGTGTTCAGTCTGACCGGAGACGGGCAACAGTTCTCCATTTTTACAAAAGAAATGTACCAGGATATATTTTCCGGGCGGTTCCCGCTGTAATGAATAATGCATCTTTTGAAGTGTCATCTTACGGGTGAGGGGTGCAGCTGCTCCCCCTTCAGCTTCCAGGTGGCGTGCAGGTCCTCCTCGGAGATCTCCGTCTCAAACTTGGCGGTCTCGGTCTCAGTGACCTCCACGCTGTACAGCGGGCGGACCACCTTAATGTCGCGCTCTGCAGGGGGGGAAACAGACGTCAAGGAGGAGGAAGAGGAGGAGGAGGAGGAGGAGGAGGAGGAGGAGGAGGAGGAGGAGGAGGAGGAGGAGGAGGAGGAGGAGCTCTCAGAGGAAACAGTTTCATGATGTACAGAAACATAGAATGACAGCTCAGAGTGAAACAGACACGTGACGAGCAGCTGACGCTCAGAGCGACTTACAGAGTGAGCAGAAGACGAGTACCGACTGAAACCCAGCGCATGAGAACATCTGATCACTAACTCTATACGTTCACTATTAAAGGACATTGATGAACTATAGATCAGTTCTGGAGTCAAAATGCATTTCTTGTAGGCAGGTAGAAATGATAAAAGAATAGTTTAACAATATTAAATATCAAGCATGTTTTTCTATAACAGTGAGTAGTACTGAACTGATTTAGGATGTATACATTTTTAAAAAGTAAATTATTATTCAAACATTTCAAATGAAACATAAATAATAAATATAAAGGGCGTGTTATTGATCTCTATATTAAAATTATAATATAGAGATCATATTTATACCAAGGGTTTATCAGGAAAGCTCATTATCCTGTGCTTGCAATTTTTGTAATGAAATAGTAAAATGATTCTATTGTTTAAAAATGAATATATTAAGATCTATCATTGGCATGGTTATCTGTCAAAAGCAAATCCATACAATGAGTTGAATATTATAGGATGTATATGAACACTTGTATGTGCCTCTGAGTGGAGAGACATTCACGTTTCCATGTCTCCGTTTGGTCTTCAGAGTTCAGAAAGTGTTTGTATACAGTTATAATATAGAGTTATAATATAGAGTTATAATGGGGGGGTTGTGAGGACAAACAAAGATGGAGGATGGAGGGGGTGGGGCATTGAGGGGGCGTGGTCTCGCTGCATGGTGGTGGGCGGGGCTTGTTCTGCAGTCCTGCAGGTGTTCAGGGTCTCCGCAGGGTTTACCTTCGATGTTCAGGTCGGCCGTGGTTTTGTCGATGCCACAGTCGCAGGTGTACGACCCGATGCTGCTCCTCGCCGCCTTCTTGATCACCAGCATGCGCCTCTTTCCGTCCGCTTGCATCAGGACGTTCTTGGAGGCAAATATTTCGTTACCGTCTTTGTACCAGCGGACCTCGTCGGCCGCCTTGCTCAGCTCGCAGGACAACACCACCTCGTCTTTCTCCACGGCGGTGTAGTTCTGCAGCTTCACCGTGAAGTACAGGTCGCCCTCTGCAAGAAGACACGTCAGCAACACACAGTTAAAGCACAACGGTTTGGAAATGAGCCGGAAAGGTCTGGAGCCATCTGGAGATCTGTAGAAGGCTTCAGCGAATACTCTTGACTGAGTATTCTGTTAAACAATCAAATGTATCATTTCTATCAGCGGTGAGTGTATCGTGTTATATTCTGAGTGTTAAGCAAACGGATCCTTTTGTTAGATTTCTGTTTCACCGTCAGCGTGGTACTGACCGAGCACGGTGAGCATGGCCTCTGAGGTCTTGCTCATGGCCTCCACTTTGATCATGGAGGTGTCGTCGATGGAGACCTCCTTGAAGGCCAGCGTGAAGACCTTCCCGTCCTCCGACATGTGCACCACCTTGCTGGGGTGCAGCCGGACGTCGTTTTTGTACCAGACCACAGGGATCTTATCGTGAGAGAGTTCCACGCTGAACTCTGCCGTCTCACGCTCCTTCACGGTCACATCTTTAATCGGCTTGATAAATTCGAGGCGAATACCTGATGACGAAAGGTTATACACAAAGGGGTTTCAAACTAAAGACAGTAACACAGACAGATTATGCTGACGGCCTGAAACACACTGTCCCCTCCGATTTAACTCGTAGTCACCTTTGATAATCAACTTCCCAGACGTCCGTTTGTCTTCAGCCTCAAACATGTACTTGGCTTCGTCTTCATATCTGGCAGATTTCACAATCAGAGTGTGTCTCTTCCCCTCCACCTGGATCTCAAACTTATCGTCATTTGTCAGCTCCTGAGATCCCTTCAGCCAGCGGAAGCTTTTGGGCTCTCTGGACATTTCCAGCTCAAACTTGGCCTCGTCCTTTTCGTACGCGTGGACGTCAGCCAGCGGAGTAATGAACGAGACCGGCGGCTCTGCAGATTCAGACAGATACAGATAACATAAACGACGGGCCCAGGAGAGAAGCTGTGGATCAGGGGGTGCTGTAGTATTTATAGATGAAATCACTATTACATTTCATGAATCCACATTGTTAGACAATAGAACTGAAGGGCCGTAAGACTGGACCCGGGTTTCTCCTTGTTAAGAGTTTGAACGGTGGTAAGTGAGCGCTCACCCTTCACTTTCAGGTTAGCAGAGCATTTGGCGTTGGCGGCGGTAAACACCAGCTCGCCTGTTTGAGGCACTTTGCAGTTGTACAAGACCAAAGTGTGTTTGGCACCGTCCTCCACGATTTCTACATCCTGCAGACGACCGACAGACGTCAGCATTTCAGTAAAAGAAAACATGGGGATTTGAAAGTGAGCACGGTGGTCGATTCACTTTCATTTGTGAAAAACACAACAACAGAATGAAAATGAAGGGAACCACATGTAAGATAATTATTGTGATGAGACGTACGGCGGATGGACTGAGGACTTCTCCGTTTAGTTTCCATTGTCCATGGACATCGTCTTCACTGAGCTCCACTTCAAACCGAGCGGTTTCTCCGTCAAACACCTCAACTCCGTACACCGGCCGCACCACCTTGATGTGGCGCGCTGACGTTCAAGAGATGGGACAAAGGTGTTTAAATATTCAGACAAACTTCACATTAAAACACAAACACAAGACGTAGACACCATACAAGAACTCCTTTATAGTGCAACCTTTTTCTAGGACAAGAAACAACCAAAGGGCTCCAATGGCTGGGCAACGACACGGTGATGATCCAGCAAGTACACGGTTGCAAAAGCAGGGAAATAGATGGACCATCACTGCCCAAAAGGAGCCATTTGGTTCTTTATGGACCTGTTAGATCATTGAGGTGCACGTTAAAGGTTCTGTTAGGAAGACCCTCTGAAGAAATATAACAGTGACCAACAAACAAGACAAGACATAAAGATGGAAGAACACCACAGGAGTTTTCTCCAATAAGGGTTATAATCAGAGTTGAATAAACCCACGAAAGGCTTTCTCTGAAAACTCTTGTAGTGTGTTTCCAGCTTTCTCAGAAGTGCAAGGTGATGGCAGTGGTGATGCCAGAAAAAGACTTGTGCGATGGAGCTTGAGGTTATGAGGTGAAGGATGAGCTTAAGATGGATGATGAGCACCATGAAATTACCTTCAATGTGAAGCGTGGCCATCGTCTTATCTGTCCCACAGTCACACACGTACTGTCCTTTGTCTTTGTCGGCAACTTTCTTGATGACAAGGGTTCTGCGTTTGCCCTCGGCCTTAATGGCCACCATCTTAGAGGGTTTGACCTCGGCCTCGTTGTGGTACCACATGACCTCCACGTCTTTGCTGAGCTCGCAATCTAGGGCCACCTCGTCTTTCTCCACCGCAGTATAGTCCTGCAGCTTAACCGTGAAGTACGCATCGCCCTCTGGAAGGGGGAAATGTTTGTGTGACTCTCCAGACAAAAACACACATGAATAACAAACAAATACACAGTCCGAGGTAAACAAACAAGATGAGGAACACAAAAACACAACATGTAGAGACAGAACAATGACACACAAACAGGTGGATCTGTGGAAATACACAAACACGTAGAGACAGAACAATGACACACAAACAGGTGGATCTGTGGAAATACACAAACACGTAGAGACAGAACAATGACACACAAACAGGTGGATCTGTGGAAATACACAAACACGTAGAGACAGAACAATGACACACAAACAGGTGGATCTGTGGAAATACACAACACGTAGAGACAGAACAATGACACACAAACAGGTGGATCTGTGGAAATACACAACACGTAGAGACAGAACAATGACACAAACATGGACACATATCTGTGGAGAGAAGAAGACGAACAGGAGGAGGACACACATGGGTTTACCTATGACCGTCAGGTTGGCCATGGAGGGAATCCCTTTGGCCTCAGCCTTAATTTGACAAGTATCATCGAGAGTCACTTCCTTCATTTCTAACACGTGTCTCTTCCCGTCCACGTGACTGAGCACGGTTCTGCTCGGGTGGATTTTGACATCGTTTTTGTACCATGTGACGGGGATGTTCTCATGAGAGAGCTCCAGCTCAAAGCGAGCCATCGTGCCTTCCTTCACCGTTTGGTCCTTTAGCGGCGAGATACATTTGAGCCTGATACCTGTAGTTGCATTAGGTGGAAAGAGGAGGCAACCAACTCAATGAGTGCTGTCTGGATAAGGATAACGACTCTGCTAGATAATGGCACTCCAGCACTTACCATCCACCGTGAGTCTAGCTGTGGACATTTTGCCCAGAACAGCGATTGTATACGCGTCCTCGTCATCGAACTCGCAGCAGTTTATAATGAGCATATGCTTCTTTCCATCATCGATAATGTCATACTTTTGGTCCGGGGTGATGACGTCATCCCCTCTATACCACATGACCTTAGAGACATCCTTCGTGATGGTGCATTCAAACTTTGCCTGTTTCTTTTCAGGCACAGAAACATCCTTCAGCGGGACAACAAAGTCCATCTCGATTTCTGGGTTTAAAAAGGTGACACAGAACATCAACAACACAACAAAACAACAACAACGATTTACACACAGTGGCCAGTCGTAACACATAACATAAATAAAGTCTGCTCGGTAAGGTTTGGTGAAGAACTCTATGTGATGATTCCTCCAAAGGTTTAGTCTTTCGGCAGGACCGGTCCACCACCAACTAGGACGTCAGTTTACTGGGATACTCATTGTTCTTTCGTCACCAGTTACTTACCAGTTTGGACTCAACCTCTGCCTACTCTATGATATTTGCTGAATCATGCCTGGTGGTTTAACAAATAAACTGGCCACTGTTCGTAGGGTTAACGAACAACATTTAACCACAGACAGTACGAATATCCTGCAAAGTGGCAGCACAAACACACATTTAGACACATGTCAGATCGGACATGTAAACAGACACGTTTCCATTGAACTGACAACAAATAGAAAACACACAAACACACAAACACACTGGAAATTGTTGGGATTCTCATCCAAATGTCTCCTGGTCTTCCCGGGCTGCAAGTCTCAAAGAATGGCACACCAAATGCATTTCATTCATCAACCCTATGAAATAAAGGTCTAAGGTCCGCTCTCAAGTGCCTTTAAGCTTTATTGTATTGCCCACGGACCTTACGCCTTTATCTTTACACCTAATATCCTAAAACATTGTTCGTCCGGTCCTGGATACCAGGCGCAGGTCTTACCTTTGACGTTGAGCATCGCGCTAGTCATGGCGTTCAGAGCCTGGTACGAAACCTCTCCGGCATGATCCAACTGGCAGTTCTTCAGAGTGAGCTTACGCACCCCGCGCTCCATGTGGATTTCGCACGTCTGGTGAATACATCACAGTGTAAAGTAATGAACACGACCATGCAAAAAAATAAATACCTGCAGTAAGAATCGTGTGACTATTTAACGGAAACAAGTTCGTGAAACCGTACCGGGGATCTGGTCAGAACCTCTCCTTTGAGCTTCCATTCGCCGGGAACATCGTCCTCAGAGATCTCCGTCTCAAACACGGCGTCCTGCTTCTCAACCACCTCAACGCTGGCCAGAGGCTTCAGGATCTCAGCCTCGCGCTCTGAGAGAGATGTTGTGTTAGTATTCAGAAATATGGACCAGACTAAAGAAAAGTAAACGGGGCACTTAGGGATGTCACTATACTAGGAAGTCAGTAGTCAATACCAATACCTTTTCAACACAGTTCTTGATACCTATAACTAATCTTACCCTTCTTTGTTACCATTAGCATGCTGGGTTTTGTTTGGAAATCAAACAGGTCATCATTTCCTAATTACATCTCCTTCAGACAACTGGATTTATTTACGTTTCTCACACAAGACTACATTAAACACATCATGATAAGGTTATGATTTACCTTTGCCTAATACTTCAATTTGTCTAAAGAGTTTGTATGCACCACAATGCAACTCAAAGGAGCTTGGCTCCACAGGCTGCTAACAGCTAACAGCTAACGTTAGCTAACTACCTGTAGCTTTTAACTTAAATGTGAGCGATGACACGATCCTGTTAGTCTTGAGTTGAGCTTTGCTACCCACTTGTTAACCGAGAACTGTTTCTAGTGACATCCCTAAACCAAAAAGGAAGGTAAGTAAGTGGATAGAAAAACCTCCTAGAGTGAGATTGGCGGTGTAAAGGCGTCCTTCCACCTCCATGCAATACTGCGCCACATCCTCAGGCTGACAGTTCTTGATGGTGAGTGTCACCTCCTTTCCTTCCTTCTTGATCTCAATCTTGTCTGAAGGAGTGACCTCCTCCTCTCCTTTGAGCCACTTCCAGTTGGGGGATTCCTTGAAGAGCTCGCACTTAAACGTAGCGTTGGCTTTTGGTTTCACATGCTGGTCTCTCAGCGGTTTCACAATCCAATCCCTGATGATTTCTGTTGGAGTTAAACAACGGTTTGCATTATAAAGAAAAGACGTGCTCCATTAATATACCAAATATTAAGAAGATGTATTCTAAGATAAAGCAGAAGGGCCAAAACAGGCTTAGTCTGAATTAGTTTATCTAACTTTGTGGCGGTTTTAAGAATTTTTGCAATTTGAAATTAGGTTTAGGGGGAGAATTCAAAGCTGCTTCCCAAAATCTGCAGATATCTGAATGTAGCTGCAGGACAATTAGTGATTTGGTTTTATGGTGATTACATTTTGAAATAAGAATGGACAATACCAGATCTCTCCCTGAATCCACTACTTATAAAACACCTGGATTGATGGATGCGTCTTTAGGGATATGTTCACTGCTTACCAATGATTTTGACATTCGATGAGGTCTTGACATCCTCCTGGCCGGACACCTCACAGCTGATGAGCCCGGTGTCGGCCTCAGTGGAGTTCTGGATGGTCAGAGCGTGCTGCAAGCCGATGACGTTGATCTGAATCTTCCCGGCCTGTTTCTTCAGGACCTCACCGTTCCTCTTCCATATCGCATCCTTCTCTTTGTTCAACTCACAGGTCATGTACAGAGGCTGACCCTTCATAGCCGAGGTCTCCTCCTCCAGCTCCTTGATCCATTTCAATGGAAGCTCTGTGCCGAGATAAAAAGGCAATGAGTGGCGAATGCTTGGATAATGATTAGGAGAAAGATATTCAGGACAGAACTAAATATAAATACCTTCAACAATGAGCTTGGCTTTGCATGATATCTCCTTGCCGGCATTCTTGGCTATACACGTGTACTCCCCGGTGTCAGACAGCTGGACATCGATGATGTTCAGCTTGCGGTCTTTGCCGTCAGAGGTGAACTTGTGCTTGGGGCTCTCGCGAAGGTTACAGTCGTCTTTCATCCAGGTAGTGATGGCAGTGGAGGGCGAAACCTCGCACTCGAACACCGCAGCCGATCCGATGGACTCGGCTTCCTTCAACAAGATGTCCTGAAGCTTCTTGATGAACTTCAGAGGGACGGCTTTGAGCTTGAACCCTGCGAACGGTTCGTCTGGTGGCGTGGGACCCTTTCCTCCGGGCCTCACACCACGGCCCCTACCTTCTCCGGGGGACGGGGTCTGCTTGGCTGAAATACAAATGAACGGTCATTTCATGAAGGACTCTTTGGAATGACTTCATTACAAGATATGAAGAAAAGAGACTTACGTTTCAGTCCTCTACCTCTACCTCCACCTGCTGCTTCTCCTGCTGGTGATCCCTCTGTTCATGAAAAACACAAATGAGTTTTCTGCACACAACGTCATCAGGTGTCTTCGTGAACATGCCAGAGCTGTGAGATGTGTAATGTCCACTCGAATGGATTGGGGAATATGATGTCATAGTGATGGTTGAATAATGAAACAATGGAAACGAAAGGCACATGAATGACTTTAACATCATGAAGAGATGGAACAACAAAACAGAAAGGTGGAGATGTTATGGGAACACGTGTTGGACAGATGGAAATGACGGACACACAAATGACAGTTTGACAAACAGATTGATATTCAACACAAACACAAGAAAAAGATGGTGTGAGTCGGGTCACTTTGAGATGTGAGGAATGATTCGGATGGAGGCATGATGGTGGGAATGGGTAGCGATTATTCAGGACATGAAGGCAGCGTTTGTCTCGGCCGTCACTCAACGAGTTAGGGTCGCCACCATCTCACCTCTCCTGGAGACCCCGGGCACCTCAAGGGCACCTTCCTCTCCTTCACCCTCCCAGTCGTAACTGTCCCGGCGAACCATCTCCCAGCCCCAGGCCTCATCTTCCTCCTGCTCCACATCTTCCTCTTTGTCCTCCTCTTCATACACCTCCTCCTCAGGCTGGGTGGCTATCTTCCTCATCTGCACGGCTCCAGGAGACACCTCCTTCCCCAGGGGAACCTTTCCTTTCCCGGGCTTCGCTGGTTCTGCAGCCTCCTCGGGGGACGGCTTCTTCGGGACCTTCTTCAGAGTCACAGCTTCCACAGAGTCTTTTGGTGAAACTGCTTTAGGAACCCTTTTAAGTTTATCCATACTGGGCCTCCTCTCAACGGGGACTTTCTCTGCGTCTTTGAGCTTCTCCACCTGAGGAGATGGTGTCTTTCTCAGCTCCACCTTCTTGAGCTGCTCCAAAGGCTTCAGAGCCACCTCTTCTTTCTCCTCTTTTGGCTTCGGTGTGACTCCCTTCTTCAGCTGCAGAGGTTTGGGCTCCTCAGGAACCTTTTCTGGTTTCTTAACAGGAGTCGTTTTCTTCTCAGCTGGAGCTGCCTCCACCACCTTCGCCGGCTTCTTCTCTGGAGTTTCTGCGATCTCAGGTTTCATCGGTTTAGCCTCAGGCTCTCGTTCTTTAGGTTTTTCCTCTGGACTGGTGCGACGGCGCTGCAGGTCATCAGCCGGCTTCCTCTCTTTCTCCTCCGCTGCTTTCTTCTCAGGCTCTGCAGCCTCTTTGGACGGCCTGGAGAAAGGCTTCAGCTTGACGCTCTCCACCTCTTGTTCCTGTGTTGGCATTTTCTTAACCTTAGTGGGCGCTTTGACCTCCTCAGGCTCTTTCTCCGGAGTTCTCTTTTTATCTACTGGCTTTGGCACCTTGGCTGCTGGCTCTTTGACCTCTGGAGGAGCTTTCTCAGGTTTCTTGGAAGGCTCTTGAGTTTCCACCTCTTTAGGGACTCTGTCTAGCTTCTGGAAAGGCACAGAGTCCCTGTCTAGCCTCTCTTTCTTGTCTTTCTCCGGCTCCTCAGACGGTTTAACAGGTTTCTCAAATGGTTTTAATTTGATCACTTCTGGTGCCACTTCATCTAAAGGCACTTGTTTCACCTTCTTTAAGGCTGCAGTAGGCGGGGCAGGTTCCTCTTCCTTTGGTGCTTTGGGAGTTTTCTTCAAAGAAATCTCATCTTCTGGTTTCTCACCTCTCGGAACAGGTTTCTGGCGGGTCCAGGCTTCTGCAGGTGCTTCTTTCTGGTCCTTTTCTTTAGGCTTCATAACTTCAGGCTTCTTCACCACCTCTGCTTTGTCTCGAGGTTGCTTCTCCTCTGCGGCTCTCCTGGTGGCGATGGACATCTCCACCGCCTCCTCTCTGTGCACCAACTCCTCCACCTGAAACACTGTGGTCTTCGTGACCTTCTGAGGTCTCTCCTCTTCCTCAGCCTCTTTCAGTTGAACTGAAGGAATCTTCTTCAGTTTGATTATCTCCTGCTCTTCTTCCACTTCTTTCATGACTATGGTCGTCTTCCTCAAAGTGGGAATCTCAAACGTCCCCTCCTCTTCAGTCTGAACTTTACCTTTTTTCTGCAGAAGAGGTTCTGAGGTGGCAAAGATTTGACATTACTTATGAAACATAACGAATGACACCACAATTTGTACACACACACTTATCACGATATATAAAACTGATAAATCAAGATGACAGTACAACAGTGACCCAAAAGACAAAGAAGAGGACGACTAAAAGAAAAGACAACAGGACACAACAGACAAACATGTATTGTGTGTATGCATTTAAACAAACAAAAGTAAGATCTTTTGATGTCCCAACATCTCCAACTGTTGGGTAGTTTTTGAGTTGGTGGCGCTATACAAGTATCATTCTGTGTATTCTTTTAGCCGTTAGTAACTGTGTACTGACTGTACTGAGGTGAGGTGAGCGGTAACCGGTGCTCCTACCTTTCTTGACTCCTCCCGGTGCTTGGACGGGTCCCTTGGTTTGATCTAATACAGGATTATAGTTCAAACAGTTGTTAGTTAGAACATTTCATCGGTCATAAATAGCAGTTTCACTGATTTAAAAGTGGGAAGACCTTACCAAACGCACTCAAAGCTGATGGGATTTGTGGTAAAGATGTGACTGAGTATGCAGAGTGGTCTAGTGTCACGTGATTTAGTGGAATGAAATGGGGAATGAGTAAAGAGATGACATGAAGAGTCCAAGGACAGCTGTGGCATGCTTCAGTTTGATTTGTGGTGAATGAACAAACAGGACACACAACATGAAAAGACAAACATCCCAATGAGAAGGCCGTACCGACCAAGATTAACGGTGGAAACACACAAGTGGGGGGGTCAGTCAACATTTCCAGTGATGACAATGGAAGTGTAAAAGATGGATAGGACTGGAAATCTCAAACAAAGAGGATGTTTCAAGGTCCGTTCTTCCTATACCTCTACCTGTTTCAGGAGATATCTTTTCTACCGCGGTTGGTTTTTCTTCTTCTGCACCCTTCCTGGTTGGTTCTTTAGCCTTTGCGGCAGCCTTTGGCTTGGCCACTTAATAAAAGAGGGGATTGTAAAGTAAACACAAGACGCACACGGTCTTAGTACAAACTCTTATACTCAAGTTATTATCTGTATACCTGGCTTTGTTTCTTCCTGGGGAGTTATTTTCTTCTCTAACTTCTTGGTCTTGTCTGTGACTTCAGGCTTTTTGGCAGCTTCTTGAACGTTTACAGCCGCCAGCGGTTTGCTCTCTTCAAGTACAAAGTAAAAAGGGAATTCAACAGAAAGCTCTCCACAACACAAATATATGTTGCATCTATGAGCTTGAAACCATAAAAAGGCAAAGTTCATTTTTCTATGAAGAAAACCTTTTTCCATTGTCCTTTCGATAAAGATTCAAAGATCATGTTGGCTCAAGAGTGACATTCTTTCACGAATGCCTCACACAGACAGAAACACAGAGACATAAACACCATTAAAACATTTAAAAGAGAGGTCGGTACCTTCTTGAGGAGCAGCTGGCTTTACCAGTGCTTCTGTGACTTGTGGTGGAGACTCCATTCCCTTCACAGGAACTTTGAAATGAAATTATACAACAATCAGAAAGTCAGTAAGACTGATGGGTGAGCACGGAACCAGCATGCAAAGACAAACAACACAACGAGAACAAACAAGGTCCAGGATGGAAACATACAGAAAACTTCTCACCTCATTTGTGTAATAAAATATACATAAAGGACACAACAAACATAATTAGACAAAGCAATGAAGAAAAACCCAACGTGGAAGCGTGGTGATATCAGGTGATCAGAAACCAAGAGTCTGTCTGAGGCGACAGTAGGACAGTTCTTCACAATGAGCAGGAGTACAGTTTGTGACGACACAAAATGGGTGGTGTGACATGGATGTCTTCTTGAAATGGTCGAAAGACGGAAGAGGTATGAATCTAATAGATCCTTAAGGAGGAGGTGCACAAGGGTATGTGGTGCTCAGGTAAAGTAAAACACGTGCTCGGTGACACATAACATATCTCCCTCTATACCTCTGGAAGACTCTTGAAGGGTGACTCGTTCTTTTCCTTCTGGTTTCAAAGTCAACACTTCCTGAGGAGGGAGGTACCGGACGTCTGCTTTTAGACAAGACTGCTCCACCTCTGACTTCCTGTTGACACTTTCTCCGTATTCTGTAGTCTTTTTCTGAACCATCTTTGGCTTGGTTGTATCTGTTACTGAGGGCTCTCTGATCACGCCAATATCAGCTCTTGACTCTGTCGTTGCTGGTTGGTATTTCCCACAAATCTCTTGGGTTTTATGCATTTCCAGAATTGTTGTTGTGGGTTTAAGTAACTGATCTCCTTTTATTTGTACTTGTCTAATCTCAAGTTTTTCTTTTTCAGGAAGTTCTTTGAGGATTTTGTTTGTTCCTATCATTACTTCTGTCTTTATTTCTTTGGGTTTAGCCAACTTCAGGTGTCTTTCTAAAGGTGCTTCCTCTAAATGTGATGACATTGGATGTTGTTGTTGTTGGGCAGCTTGGTCTCCAAAAGTGACACATTTTGGTCTTTCTTCTATATATTTAAAGTCTTGTTCGGCTGACATTGTTCTCACGTCCTTGAGAATTTCTCTTTTGGTATATTCTTCTGCAATAAGTGATTCTTTAGACGTCACAGTTTGAGTAGTTTCTCCAGTTCTTGCATATCTGTCTAAAGTGTCTTTGCCTCGCAGTAATCCTTTAGTGGTGGTTGTTTGTATGGGAGTAACTTTAGTAGTTTTGTCAACAAGTGTTCCAACCTTGGACTTTCTTTCTTGCGCTCTAAACTCTTCAGTTTGACCTAACGTCAGGCTGGTACCTGTTGTGTGTTCGTCTTTCTTTAAAGGAACATCCACTGACTGTGTTTTACTTGATGTCATGTCTTTAACAACATCGTCAGGGGTAATAAACCTTTGTGGAGTATCACATTTAAACTCATGTTGTTTCATAATCAATGGTTTTTCATAAGCAACATCCATGACAGGTGTCCTTGAAGCTTTCCTTTCTATTTGGTCCTGCTTTGTTTCTACATGTGGAGCAACCCTGAGGAAAAGGTCTTTAACGGTGTCTGTTCTGGACTGAATGCTTTTCATTGTAGACCGCTCTTGGTCTTGTTGAGTAACAGCTGACGCTTCTGCCGGTTGTTGAGTTTGTTTCTGTTCTGTTAGCATTGTATTATCCTTGTCTGTAATCTTTAGTTTCTCAGCCTGCACCCTTCCCTCCTTGGTGGACTCAAGAGAAGCCTCACTGGATTCATAAATGTCCTCTCTACTGGATCCAACGTCTTTAACACGCTTGTCAGGTGCAATACATCTTTGCAGGGTGTCTGATTTCACATCTCCATCTTTAACTATCTGGTGTTTTTCAGCTGCGACCTCCATCACAGGAGCAACTGAGATTATTCTCTCAGCTTGTTTTGTTTCTGTTTCCTCAAGTGGAGTAACACTACCGTATTCATCTTTAACTGTAACTGACTTAGACTGCACTTCTTCAGAGGAACGTTTGTCCAACTTCAGTGCTTTCTCTTTCAGGGATTTTGATGTCTTTGACTTAATGTTTTCAGTCTCTGCGTCGGTTATGTCTGTCTGCTTCTGACTGTTTGTTATCTCTTCAACTGGAAGACCTGCAGTGATTTTATCCTTGACTGTACGTTTTTCTGAAGCTTCTTGCTCCACCAAAGAGCGTTGATATGCTTCTTCTGGTTTGGATACAGTTAAAGCTTTTCTTTCAATGTTCTGTTTATCAGGTAAATCCTCTTTAATGGGAGAAACCTTTTCTGTCTGATATTGAACTACGTCTACTTTTGAAAAGACTGGATGTACTGTAATATCTTTGGAAGACTCCTTTGACTTTGTAGGAACATCGTCTGACTTGTAAACATCCCTTTTTGTTGACCTAATGTCTTTAATGAGCTCATCAGGTGTGATATATCTTTGGAGAGTGTCTGATCTAACGTCTCCTTCTGTCACTATCAGACATCTTTCAGATGCAATCTCCATCACAGGAGCCAATGAAAACCTGTTTTCCACTTGTTCTTGATTTGCTTCTGGGACGAATGGAGTAACACTACCATATTCATCTTTTACTACCACTGTCTTAGACTGCACTTCCTTTAGGGGAGTTTTCATAGTTTTGTCTAACCGTTTGCCTTTCTCTTTAAGGGATTTATTAGTCTGGAAATCGTCCATTTCCATTTTAGTTGCTTCTTTCTTTTTGGAAATGTTTCCATACTCATCTGGTGCATTGGATGCATCTTGTTCCATCGCTATGTCTGTTTTAATTTCCTCCATCACAGGAGGAATGACAGTTGGAAAATCTGTGGTAGTTTTGTCCATTATTGGAAGTTTTTCTTCTGGTTTACTTGAAACTTTTCTTTTAACTTCAGTTTTTGGAGATTTATCTTCAGCAATGTCTTCCATGGATTTTGATTGTACTATCTTATGTTGAAAAGTATCAGATGTTTCACTTGCAACCTCCATGGCAGGAGCTTCTTTAAACTTTCTTTGAACTTGTTTAGTATCTGAGACTTCCAATGGTGCAACACTTCCATATTCATCCTTAACTTGAACTATGTTGGACTGGATCTCTTCTGCTTTAGAGAGTTTGTCTTGCAGAGCTCTAACAGAATCATGGATCTCCGTTTGTTTATGCCTTTTTGGTTTTATCTTTACAGTTTCATCTTGAATTGTTTGGACTAATATCCTGTCTTGAGAAATGTTATCTAACTTTGTCTTTTTTTCTTCAATCTCAGGTTTAACTTCTACTTTAGTTTCAGTTGTATTGTGTTCAAGAGGAACACTTTTGTCTATTTTGTCTTTCTTTGAGTATCCTACAGTCTGCATTTCCTCCACAGTCTTTGCTGACTTATCTTGTCTCTTGGTCTGCGATATGTCTTTCTTTGGAAGAGTGGTTTCAAATTGACTGATTGTTTTTTCTGGAACATAAATTACTTCAGACTCAGTTGTCTCCAAGGGTATGCTGTCAATTTGTTCCAGTCTTGTTAGGGTCTTCTTCTCAATGGGAGCCAACATGGGTGTCTTAATTTCAATTGGGACTAAATTGGACCTGATGTCTTCCTTAATGTCTTCAGGTGAGCTCAAGTGTCGAGGAATAACAGTTTTAGAGTCTTGTGGTCTGTCCATTGCCTCCTCTATCACAGGTACCTCTGAAGTCCTTCTTAGGACGTGTTCTTGTTTGATTTGTGTAGTTTCAAAAGGTGTAACACTACTATATTCATGTGAAACTGCAACGGTCCTGGCCCCTTCAACTGCAGTCTTTTTGGATTTGGCTGACAGTTTATCTGTTTGAGCTTTATCTTTCTTATGATGTTCTGATGTTTCTTCAGGTCCAGTTTGGACTTGTTTATCTTTAATCTGGATGCCACATTCCTCATCTGAGACTTCAATCTTAATATGTTTTTCCAGTTGTTTTGGGGCCCCATCTTCAGCGGGTGTTACTTTTACAATTTTCTCTTTAACTCTTATGGACTTTGGTGGGATTTGTTGATCTGCCACCTCTTTAGGTCTGGCTACCTTCTGTCCTCTCTCCTTTAAGGATATTGATGTTTCAGAAGGTGTTTCTTCAAAGAAATCAATGTCCTCTTCCACTGTTGCTAATTCAGTTTCTCTGCTTTCAGGAGCTACTGCAAGTTCTTTGGATGTTGTCTCCACTAAATGTGTATCTGAAGCCCTTCTGTCAGCTTGCTCCTGTGCTGTTTTAAGTTTAAATTGAGTGACTTTAAAGGTTTTATCTCTAACTGTGCTGTGCTTTACCTCTTCTCGTTCAACGATAATCTTTTGAGGTTTCTGTTCGCTATCTGTCGTTTCAATATCACTAGTTGTGTCCATCACAGGCGCGTCGACACCTTTTCCTCCACCTCGTTCCTTTCTCGCTGGTTTCTTCTGCTTGATGAGAGTATCTGAGGCAGTTGTATCTGGAGCTTTGTCAGTGTGATGTAATGTCTGCCGTTTGCTTTTAGCTAACTCAGTAATCTCTTTACGTGGTGTAGTTTCTACAGGTTGCATATCTGTCATTAGGGGTTGTTGGAGTCTTGGTTGTGCGCCTTTAGAAGATCTGTCTTTACCTTTGTTACCGCCTGATTGTAATGACTCTTCATGTTCGACTAACTTCGCTGTTTTGTCAGTTACTGTTGATTCAACATCTTTGTCTTTAAGGGACTTGACTTTGTTTTGAGTAACACCAGCTGGCTCATATTGTTCATCAGATTTACATAACACTAGTTTTTGTATGTCCTCTCCTTTGTTTAACCCTTCAGTTGGAAGTAATTTAGTATACTTGTGGTGAGCTTTAGCTTTGGGAGGTTTCTCCATTGGTGCTGGTTTAATCCCTGCATCTAACCTGATGTCCTCTTTGTCTACAGTGTCTTGTTTATCTTCTCTTGGTGCTTCTTTATCAGTTAATTGGATCATTGGAGTGATGGAGGAGGCTGTCTCAATGAGTTCTTGCTCTGTAACGTCCTGTACTTTAATAGGAGGGACTTCACTTTTAGTTCGGACTCTTTTCTTTGACTGTTCATCCTCAGCGTTCCCTTCGATTGGCTTCTGCTGTCTCTGTGTGTGAGGAAAGGCCTCAGGAGTAAATGTATCTGTAACTTTAACATCTTCACATTTCACTGGAATTTCTTCAGTTTGAGACGTTTCTAACAACATTTGTTCTTTCCCTTTTTCAGATGTGATTGGTTTCAAATGAATGTCTTTATCCGCAGTATCTTCAGTTGTGGCTCGCATTGGTTCTTTTTTCTTTTTAGGCACCTTTCTCTCAATGGATTCCTGTTTTCTCAGTGATTTTGTTTTCTCAACAACAGGAGAAGTTATTTCTTCCCTTGTTTTGTCCTTTTCAGTTTGAGTTGGAGGGTCTCCAGTTGCTACCATCTCAAGCCCTATTTGATCAGCTATTTCTTCAAAGAAATCAATGTCCTCTTCCACTGTTGCTAATTCAGTTTCTCTGCTTTCAGGAGCTACTGCAAGTTCTTTGGATGTTGTATCCACTAAATGTGTATCTGAAGCCCTTCTGTCAGCTTGCTCCTGTGTTATTTTAAGTTTAAATTGTTTAACTTTAAAGGTTTTATCTCTAACTGTGCTGTGCTTTACCTCGTCTCGTTCAACGATAATCTTTTGAGGTTTCTGTCGTGGTTCTTGTTGAGATACTGATCCACTGTCTGTTAGCTCCTCATCAGATGTTGCACGCTTTGTGACAAAGTCTTTAGTTTCTGCATGTTTTTCAGGAGTACCATGTTTAGTGACAGTCAGTTTCTGAGTTTTATCTTCAACAGTCATGGACTTTGGTGGGATTTGTTGATCTGCCACCTCTTTAGGTCTGGCTACCTTCTGTCCTCTCTCCTTTAAGGATATTGATGTTTCAGAAGGTGTTTCTTCAAAGAAATCAATGTCCTCTTCCACTGTTGCTAATTCAGTTTCTCTGCTTTCAGGAGCTACTGCAAGTTCTTTGGATGTTGTCTCCACTAAATGTGTATCTGAAGCCCTTCTGTCAGCTTGCTCCTGTGCTGTTTTAAGTTTAAATTGTTTAACTTTAAAGGTTTTATCTCTAACTGTGCTGTGCTTTACCTCGTCTCGTTCAACGATAATCTTTTGAGGTTTCTGTTCGCTATCTGTCGTTTCAATATCACTAGTTGTGTCCATCACAGGCGCGTCGACACCTTTTCCTCCACCTCGTTCCTTTCTCGCTGGTTTCTTCTGCTTGATGAGAGTATCTGAGGCAGTTGTATCTGGAGCTTTGTCAGTGTGATGTAATGTCTGCCGTTTGCTTTTAGCTAACTCAGTAATCTCTTTACGTGGTGCAGTTTCTACAGGTTGCATATCTGTCATTAGGGGTTGTTGGAGTCTTGGTTGTGCGCCTTTAGAAGATCTGTCTTTACCTTTGTTACCGCCTGATTGTAATGACTCTTCAAGTTCGACTAACTTCGCTGTTTTGTCAGTTACTGTTGATTCAACATCTTTGTCTTTAAGGGACTTGACTTTGTTTTGAGTAACACCAGCTGGCTCATATTGTTCATCAGATTTACATAACACTAGTTTTTGTATGTCCTCTCCTTTGTTTAACCCTTCAGTTGGAAGTAATTTAGTATACTTGTGGTGAGCTTTAGCTTTGGGAGGTTTCTCCATTGGTGCTGGTTTGATCCCTGCATCTAACCTGATGTCCTCTTTGTCTACAGTGTCTTGTTTATCTTCTCTTGGTGCTTCTTTATCAGTTAATTGGATCATTGGAGTGATGGAGGAGGCTGTCTCAATGAGTTCTTGCTCTGTAACGTCCTGTACTTTAATAGGAGGGACTTCACTTTTAGTTCGGACTCTTTTCTTTGACTGTTCATCCTCAGCGTTCCCTTCGATTGGCTTCTGCTGTCTCTGTGTGTGAGGAAAGGCCTCAGGAGTAAATGTATCTGTAACTTTAACATCTTCACATTTCACTGGAATTTCTTCAGTTTGAGACGTTTCTAACAACATTTGTTCTTTCCCTTTTTCAGATGTGATTGGTTTCAAATGAATGTCTTTATCCGCAGTATCTTCAGTTGTGGCTCGCATTGGTTCTTTTTTCTTTTTAGGCACCTTTCTCTCAATGGATTCCTGTTTTCTCAGTGATTTTGTTTTCTCAACAACAGGAGAAGTTATTTCTTCCCTTGTTTTGTCCTTTTCAGTTTGAGTTGGAGGGTCTCCAGTTGCTACCATCTCAAGCCCTATTTGATCAGCTATTTCTTCAAAGAAATCAATGTCCTCTTCCACTGTTGCTAATTCAGTTTCTCTGCTTTCAGGAGCTACTGCAAGTTCTTTGGATGTTGTATCCACTAAATGTGTATCTGAAGCCCTTCTGTCAGCTTGCTCCTGTGTTATTTTAAGTTTAAATTGTTTAACTTTAAAGGTTTTATCTCTAACTGTGCTGTGCTTTACCTCGTCTCGTTCAACGATAATCTTTTGAGGTTTCTGTCGTGGTTCTTGTTGAGATACTGATCCACTGTCTGTTAGCTCCTCATCAGATGTTGCACGCTTTGTGACAAAGTCTTTAGTTTCTGCATGTTTTTCAGGAGTACCATGTTTAGTGACAGTCAGTTTCTGAGTTTTATCTTCAACAGTCATGGACTTTGGTGGGATTTGTTGATCTGCCACCTCTTTAGGTCTGGCTACCTTCTGTCCTCTCTCCTTTAAGGATATTGATGTTTCAGAAGGTGTTTCTTCAAAGAAATCAATGTCCTCTTCCACTGTTGCTAATTCAGTTTCTCTGCTTTCAGGAGCTACTGCAAGTTCTTTGGATGTTGTCTCCACTAAATGTGTATCTGAAGCCCTTCTGTCAGCTTGCTCCTGTGCTGTTTTAAGTTTAAATTGTTTAACTTTAAAGGTTTTATCTCTAACTGTGCTGTGCTTTACCTCGTCTCGTTCAACGATAATCTTTTGAGGTTTCTGTTCGCTATCTGTCGTTTCAATATCACTAGTTGTGTCCATCACAGGCGCGTCGACACCTTTTCCTCCACCTCGTTCCTTTCTCGCTGGTTTCTTCTGCTTGATGAGAGTATCTGAGGCAGTTGTATCTGGAGCTTTGTCAGTGTGATGTAATGTCTGCCGTTTGCTTTTAGCTAACTCAGTAATCTCTTTACGTGGTGCAGTTTCTACAGGTTGCATATCTGTCATTAGGGGTTGTTGGAGTCTTGGTTGTGCGCCTTTAGAAGATCTGTCTTTACCTTTGTTACCGCCTGATTGTAATGACTCTTCATGTTCGACTAACTTCGCTGTTTTGTCAGTTACTGTTGATTCAACATCTTTGTCTTTAAGGGACTTGACTTTGTTTTGAGTAACACCAGCTGGCTCATATTGTTCATCAGATTTACATAACACTAGTTTTTGTATGTCCTCTCCTTTGTTTAACCCTTCAGTTGGAAGTAATTTAGTATACTTGTGGTGAGCTTTAGCTTTGGGAGGTTTCTCCATTGGTGCTGGTTTAATCCCTGCATCTAACCTGATGTCCTCTTTGTCTACAGTGTCTTGTTTATCTTCTCTTGGTGCTTCTTTATCAGTTAATTGGATCATTGGAGTGATGGAGGAGGCTGTCTCAATGAGTTCTTGCTCTGTAACGTCCTGTACTTTAATAGGAGGGACTTCACTTTTAGTTCGGACTCTTTTCTTTGACTGTTCATCCTCAGCGTTCCCTTCGATTGGCTTCTGCTGTCTCTGTGTGTGAGGAAAGGCCTCAGGAGTAAATGTATCTGTAACTTTAACATCTTCACATTTCACTGGAATTTCTTCAGTTTGAGACGTTTCTAACAACATTTGTTCTTTCCCTTTTTCAGATGTGATTGGTTTTAAATGAATGTCTTTATCCGCAGTATCTTCAGTTGTGGCTCGCATTGGTTCTTTTTTCTTTTTAGGCACCTTTCTCTCAATGGATTCCTGTTTTCTCAGTGATTTTGTTTTCTTTGTTTTCTCAACAACAGGAGAAGTTATTTCTTCCCTTGTTTTATCCTTTTCAGTTTGAGTTGGAGGGTCTCCAGTTGCTACCATCTCAAACCCTATTTGATCAGCTATTTCTTTACTACCAGTGTCTTCTTCTTCTTCAGTGGTATCTTGTTCTGAGATCAAATGCTCTGCCGGCTTACCGGAGACCTGTTTTTCAACTTGGAGTTCTGCAACTACAGCTTCCTCGTCTTCAACCGCTGCCTGCCGTCTCACTTTCTGCGCTACATCAGTCCTGCTCTTTGACAAGATCTCAGGTCTTTTAGTTTCAGTTTCTTTCTCTTGAGGTTCTATTTCAGGAGGAACTGAACGTCTCATCTCAGCTGTTCCTTCAATCGGACTGCCTTTGGCTGGTTTACCTTTACGTAGAGCTTCTTTATCTTTTTTAATGTCTTTTATTGCCTTTAGAAAATCATGTTTTTGGACAGAAGACTCCTCCTGAACCTTCCTCTCAGATTCACTTCCTGTCATGCTGAGCTTGTCTTTAGTTTTTGGGATGCCTCTTGTTTTAACAGCTCGTCTCTTTGAGCCATCAGTAACAGATATTTCACCACTTATTTCAGACACTTCTTCCATCGCACTTAAAACCTCTTCGTCCTGCAAAGATTTAGGACCCTCGCCTTCTTCATGCTTGCCATATACTTGTGCTTCAACCTCTTCTCTCGATATGGAATCAGTCTGACGTCCGGCTCTTTCCCCAGCCTTTAACAGACCGCTGGTTGCCGCTTGAGGACGGAAGATTTTAAGAGTTTTGAAGAGAAAGCACCATGAAGCGGTGCCAAGAGATTAGGGGAAGAAATAACAACAAAGACAAACATTTGGAGTTAAAGGAGACAAACACAGAGGTAATAAGAAAAGGAGCTGACAGGAAAATGTGCCGTTGATGTTGTACCTCTTGTTCCTTCTTCTGGAGACGGATCAGCAGCAGGAAGGGTCGTGGGAATCGTCTCGGCCTCGCATTCTGCTTCTTTAAAGAATAATAGTTTTGTGTTTAACGCAAGATATGAGCATTAAAGGAAGAAGGAAAGGGATCAAGAAGAACCCCTTTAAAACAAGGTCAAAGCTTGACTTGGGGGTCAATCTGATGGTGGTCAAAAGAGAGCAAACCTGAACAAAGAACATGTGAGTGTTATGATGTGAGACGGTCTGTCTGTACCTCTGGGAGATGTTGCTTTTGAAGGTTTTGTCTGAAGACTTCCCTCAAATAAAACGCTTGTTTCCTCTGTTCTCTTGTGATCTGTTTCAGTTCTTGCAGAAACAACTCCAGTCTTCTTTTGGACCACTTTTGGCGTCTCAGGTTTGATATCTGTTACGGACACTTTGGGTTTGACCTCGGGCGTCACGTCTTCAGAAACTCTGTCCTTCTTTGGACTAATTGTCCCCTCAGATGTTTGCTGCTTCTCTTGTTTCTTTACCAAGACTCTTCCTGGTGCACTGGTCTCATCTTTTTTGGAAATGACTGCTGGTTTAATTCCCGTTACGACCTTTGTACTTGTTTCCTCTTCTACCATCTTTACCTGAGAAAGACTCACTTTGGTTGGTTTCTCTTCAACTGTGACTTCCCTCTTTTGAATTGTAATATCTGATATTTCCTCACTTCTACTGTCATGTTCTTTGGGAATATCTGATATTTCCTCACTTCTACTGTCATGTTCTTTGGGAATATCTGATATTTCCTCACTTCTACTGTCATGTTCTTTGGGAATATCTGATATTATCTCGCGTCGTAACTCAGTCAAATGCTTTCCTTCAAGCGCTTCAGTCTGTTTTCTAGTTGCTGTGCTGATAATAACTGGTTTATCTATTTCTTTGACTGTCGTCTTGACTTCCTGTTGCCGCTGTTTGCTTTCTGTTTCAATGCTCACCTCTCTTCCCGTTTTGACTCTAGTTCCCTGTATAGAGATGTCCCTTCTTTCTTGTCTGACTGCCTCGCTGTCTGTTAAAGACAAGATGGACTGAATAATGAACTCTTCTTCAGTGGTTTCTTTTCGAGGTCTACCCTCCCTATCCTGGTCAGATTTCTGGACTACAACAATGGTTTCTTGTGTTTGTGGCACTCTGGACGCCCGGGTGTTTTTCCTCCCTGCAGAGTCAGTAACAGATATCTCGCCTCGCAGTTCAGACTTTTCTGTACGTAAGAGGTCTGATGTCGGCTCTACGGTCTCGCCAAGATGAGCCTCTTTGCCTTTGGCGTGTTCTTGGTGTTCCCACGCTTCCTCCTCGACGTGATAAACTTCCTGAGTCTCCTGAGCTGCTCTCCTGCGCTCGATCTTAACGAGACTCTCAGTTTCTGGGAGTTTTAAGAGTTGTAGAAGAAGAAAAGGCGTCATGCGGCGGCGCCAAGAGGTGAGAACAAAACACAAGGATTAGGAACACAGAGATTAATCACATGGTTAACGCTTCGGGTGAAAATGTATTATCACCAAGAGGTAAAGTGGTTAAAGTACTCCATCGGGTTTTCAGATGGTCGGTACCTTTTTCTGCAGGAGAGACTTTTCTCTCTTGTTCGATCTTCACAATCTTCTTGGTTTCTTTTAAAGATAATCCAGTGAGAAGGTAGAAGACCATTTTAAAAGAAGAGAATTAAGACGTTTAACAAACATAAGGAAATGAACAACGTACATTTAATAACACGAAACACAGCAAGAAATTAGAAATCAAAGGTTTTTAAAGAAGTGGCAGCAGCTCAGCTTGTATTTAAATACTCCTTACATCTGCTATACACTCAAAACAAAGTAAACGGTTCATAGTTTGTATATATGTATTCAGTATAGTCAACTGAAGCTTATTCAAAGGTGAAATGAGATCAGTTATAATCTCTTACATGTGATTAAAACACTTTTCTTGGATTTATTTTGGACAAAGTTTTCCGTAAAAACATTCAAGCCTTTTTTGTTGCTTTCCATGTTTTGCTCCACAGGAACCCTGCTGTACTCTGCTGGTAGACAAAGGGCACTAAGACTGAATATAATGAATTCAATATCATCAAACTGAAACCTAAGTTTGATCCTTCAATGTATTCATGAGAAAGAAACTTGATCCTACCACTAGGTGGCGCCAAAGTAGCCAATGCACATAAAATATCTTTTGAACTATAGTCAGCATTTTAGCAAATGAAACATTTGAATTGTGCTCAAATAAAGCCTTTGTCAATGAATCTTATTACATTAAAATGGTCTAAGTGGGTTTATTACTTACAATCATTAGTTTTGAGTGTACATTTAGATGCCATATAGGGAGTGAGCTGCTGCCGATGGCTCTCATGCATGAAGAAGACGTGTTTAATGAAAGAGTTGAGGTCTGCCTCGGCTGTACCTTTAGTTTCAGACACCTGCTCAGGTGTTCTATCTACAGAGAACCTCTCTGGTCCTTTCTGAGACGCCGGTTCAGGTTTAGCTTCCTCAGGAGTCCGCTCTTCTTCGGACACTTTCTGAGAAACTTTCACAGACTTAGGAGGAGCCTTCTCCACGGGTCGTTTTTCTGGAACCTTCTTTGGTATTTCATCTACTTTTCTCTGGGGTGCCAGCACCTTCTCTGGGACCCTCTCAGGGGTCTTCTCCTTCACCTCAGCCTTCCCTGGCGGTTCAGGTATTTTATCTGGACGCCTCTCAGGTTCAAACACCTTCTGAGGGGCTGACTCAGACACCTCTTCAGGCACCACTTTAGGTTTGGGCATCACAGCTTTAAGAGGGTTTGACACAAACACATGCACAGACATGACTAGAAAGAATGTTGAAATGTGCTGGCGCACAAACAGAGGTCATTTTAAAACAACGTGGAGTTACTTCACTCAAATTACCCTTAGTTTGGTAAATTGTCTTAAAGTGCCAATAGCTTGGTTATCATCATATCGCTGTTAAATATGATGGAAACTTGAGTAGCGTAACTCCAGACTCAAAGGACCCAGAACAGAGTCTGGGCTCGGGAACATTAAGGTACCTTTGTCTTTCTGTGTCGGCTCTTCTTTGGGAGGAACAGCAGCTTCTGGTTTCTTTGCTGCTTTTGGAGCCACAGGTCTTTTTTCCTCCACAGGAACTTTAGAGAGTATAATTTACAAGCATTAAAAGCCTTTAAATGTACACAAGCTAAAGAGTTTTGTAAGATGCAAACACTCTATCGAGTGCAAGACAAGAAACAAGACGTGCAGCCCCATCGTAACCACAGTTAGACGTTAGACTAAACAAACCAGGAGCCGAAGAGAGTTTAAGATGAAGGTAAGAGTTTGGGTTTTAGTTTGCCGGGTTACGGCGATGATGAAGAACTTTGGTTTACTCAAAACAAACACAAAAAGGATCATCAGGCATGGACAGTCACTCCAGACGAGTTACAGGTGGAGGGTGGAGTTAAGACACATCTCAATCAGAGACGCTGTGTACCTTGCTTTGGAGGTTCCTTCGGAGCAGGCTTCGGTTCTGGTTTTGGCACTTTCACTTCAGGTTCAGCTTTTTTAACTGCTGGTTCAGGTTTGGAGACCTTCGCAGGTTCAGGTTTCGGAACGGGCAGTTCTGGCTCCGGTTTACGAACTTCTGCTTTTGGTTTTTCCGGTTCTGGTTTGGCTTTTGGAGCCTCTGGTTCTGGCTGTTTTACCACCGGTTCAGGCTTGACCTTGGCCGGCTCTGGTTTTGCAGCCTCTTCGGGGACTTAAAGCAACATTTAGTTTAGACTCGACAATCAAGACACACAGAAAGTCAAAGATTCGCTTCCACACTCGAAGCTAAACACATAAAGTTGAGCTGTCTAAATACTCAGGACGGAGAAACAAACACACACTTAGACTCAATACGTTTTCAAATGAACCCACACACACAGAAGGAAATACCTTTGGAGGGGGGGGTAGCCGGCTTCTTTACCGCCCCTGGCTTAGCTTCCGGCTCCACCTTCATCGCCGGTTTGGCTTCAGGCTCTGCTTTGGGCTTAAGCTTTGGTTCAGGTTCTGCTCTCTGTTTGAGCTTGGACTCAGGCTCAGGTTTAGCTGCAGGCGCCACTGTTTTGGGCTCAGCTGGTACCTGAGGCTTGGGCTCATCTTCAGGTAGGCAAGACAGACATTAGCTAATGTTAGCATAAAGTTGTGGTAGCATTTAAGAGTTATGAAGAGTCTTCAAAACAAGAGTTCAGACACTCAACAGAGAGACACTGATAAAGAGTGGAACAGTTTACAAAGGGCTACAGAGCGCAACAGGAAGACAGACATGAAGAGGTTAGCGGCTACGTAGCGGTGAGGACGATAAGCTGCTACTGAAGACGTCTCAAAGTACCTTTCTTTGGCAGTCCAGGCTTCTCCGCAGGGGGTGAGGGCACAGCCGCAGGCTTCTGAACGTCCTCTGCTTCTTTTAAGATACATTTAAACACATAATCAACCAGAGAGTCAAAGACCAATGGGACAGAAAGCATGCGGCGAGTGTCGTCTGCAAAGAGTGAGATTTTCAGTAGAGAGATGTTAGAAAGGAAGACGTCTCTACCTTTAGAAGAGGGTGCTTTCTTCTGCTCTGGTTCTGAAACTGCAGCAACCCTTTTCTCCAATGGCTTTTTGGCTTCAGGCACTTTAAAAGTACATTTACGTGAGAATTCACAAGAAAACAACATTTACAGTTCACACACAGAGGAACAAAGTATGAGAAGCCTTTAAAGACAGATATGAATCAGGCCAACATCAGGAGGTATGTTGGTACCTGTCGGGGGGGACGGCTCCTTCAGTGACGTCGTCGGCTTCTCCTCAGGCTTTTTCTCAGCTTTGGGAACTTTAAAAAGACACCGATTGTGTTAACAACACAAGAGAGAGCTGCTGAGCGTTTGCAGGTGAAGCACAGAAGCATCAGAAGATAATAAAGCACGAAAAGCAACTACGTCTTTCTGGAGCAACAATAAAAGATGAAGAGTGCACAGGAATACAAAGACCAACACAGATCTTAGTGGTGGACGACAGACGGGTGGGTTTGTGTTCCCTGAAGCGCGGAGCTGAGCAGGAAGTCATTACCTTTGGATGGGATTCCCTCTCTCATCTCAACTTGCTTGGTCTCTACTTTCTCCTCAACTGCGACTCTGGCAGCTAGAAGAAAGCACAAAGGAAACCCAGCATCATCGTCACCGTCAGAAGAATATACTTTCTGGAAGATCAGGAAGAATTACTGCTTGGAGTGAAGTGTTTAACAAAAAGAGTTTATCTCCTATATGTCGGTAACACATCTGTGTATTACCTTCTGTAATGTAATGCAAGAAGACTCAAATGGTTTCTATGTGTTGATTAAAAGAAAGGTTGATAGATGGATATTTGAAAAGATTGTGTTACAGCAGCTGCAGGTTAGAAAACTAAATAATACAACATGTTAATACAACGAGAATCAGGTATACACAGTTAATCCAAACAGTAACCAATTAGACAATGCAAAGCAATTATTACAATGCATTGTGGGTAAGACATTAGAGTTTATAAGGGAAGCAGAAGCCAGAAAAATGACCTGAGACTGAAATAAGGATCCAAGAGGAGAATGATTAATGATGAGAACAAACAGACACCAGACCGACATTAAGAGAGAGAGCCATGGTTAAGAGCAACACACACACACACACACACACACACACACACACACACACACACACACACATACACACACCACACACACACACACACACACACA